TTCTTTACTTCGATACCTGTTGCCATCATGGGTATTCTCGACCAGGACGTTTCAGATTCTATCTCCTTGGCCGTGCCGCAACTGTATCGTCGTGGTATTGAGCGCTTGGAATGGACGCAGACGAAGTTTTGGTTAGTTTCCTCCTCTCTTTGACCTCGATGCACATTTTACTGACACGCCCAATAGGCTGTACATGCTTGACGGTATTTATCAGTCCATCATGGTCTTCTACATCCCGTACTTGCTATTCATGCCTGCACGACCTGTGACCGAAAACGGCTTGGTTATTGATGACAGATTCCGCCTCGGAGTGTACATTGCGCACCCCGCTGTTCTGACGATCAACGCTTACATTATGATGAACACCTATCGATGGGACTGGCTTTTCCTACTCATTGTTTTCCTCAGTGACATCTTCATCTTCTTCTGGACAGGCATTTACACCTCATTTACTTCATCTGACCAGTTTTATGGAGCGGCCAAGGAGATATACGGAGAGGCCACTTTTTGGGCCGTCTTTGTGCTTGTCCCTGTCATCTGCCTCTTTCCACGATTTACCATCAAGGCTCTCCAGAAAGTCTTTTTCCCTTATGACGTCGACATTATTCGGGAGCAAGAGAGGCTGGGTGCTTTTGCTCACCTGAGCCCAGAGAGCAATTCGATTGAAGCAGTCAGCGACGAAAAAAGCCAGAAGAGCAAGTCATCTGGCAGCTCGCGGGGAAATCACAACCAATATGCTAGCGTTGATGAGGATCTGCGCCCAATATATCCCCCATCAACAGTGACGCGAACGACCACGCAGATCGGCCACAGCCAGACTGGCAGCGACAGCACGAATTACACGGGCAACCGCTACTCGTTGGAAGTGCCAGCGACTAACCGCTACTCACTTGAAGTGCCAACGACCACGCGACCAAGCATGGATCGGGCAAGACCATCATATGATCGTATGCGACAATCCATGGACCGCATACGGTATAGCTACGAGGCTAGCAACGACTTTACTTCAGCTGCAAGGCTGTCTCGTATTGAATCAAGCCATTCACATGCAGCCGCAGGCCTGGGTGCAAGATTACGCGGGCTGTCATTAACAAAGAGCGCCAATGTATAGACACAGAGCTGGAGTGCTTTAAGGAAAATCTCTTTCGTTGTATATTTGCATTGAGTCCAGTCTCCTTAATCGCCTACATTGTTTTTAAAGGTGTTTCCGATGCATGATGCTCGATATTCAAGTATCTGCTTTGAGGCATTCATGCTTTTGATGATTTGCATGAGCGATCTATGAATTGCTACTCCTTTCACCCACATTTGTTAATGACCCCCTGCGTTCAGGCGCGCATTGAGACGCCCAGTTGCTTTTCTATCGCGATGCATATCAATGCTGTAACGCCTGCAAGCAATTATGAAGCCCGCCCACCACGTGGTAGGAGAAGAAAAAAATGAAAAGAGAAAAAAGAAGGAGTAAAGGGGAAGCTGACAGGCATGTGGTTGTCTGGACCTTCTTTATAAAGAGAGGAGGCTTGATATTTGCATGGCGTTTGAAAAGGAAATGGGAGATTCTGGGATTGTTTTGCCTTTTTGCTTTTTACACTTTCATTTCTTTCATTTTTAGTTGAAAGATGCATTATATCTCTTCTTCATTCTGCTCACACTGCTTTTTATTCGTTCCGTTTTTTTTTTTCAATCCTGTTTTCTTTTTCCTCTTTTCTCTTTTCGCTTCCTTCATTTTCTGGTTTTTATCCTGCATTCTAGAGATGAGTAGCGACGCAAACCCTCCCATTCCCTCAAAGAGTATATTTCCACCCCCTTTTCATCATTATTATTATAACAACATATTGCGTTTCTTTTGGTTGCTCAGACGGAGTAAGAGTTAGGAAAGGGTGAAGAGGTTGAAAGAAGAGAGGTAGTTGTTCTATTTATTCTTTTTTTGGTTGTTTTTCTCTTTTATTCCTTTTCTTGAATGTTTGAAAGTGTGTAAAGAAAGAGCAAAATTTGCGCGAAGCTGCTTCTGCTCAGGAAAGGTGGGCCTTGGCGTTGAGGGGAAAGGTGGCCTGAGAAGAAAGAAAGGGGATTGGCCGCGAAATAAAGAAGTCTGGATATGACGATGCTGTTTTGTGTGGATGATTGAGAGTGGTTGTTGCATGGATTTTTAGTTATTAGTAACAAGTAGTCACAGCTTTTGTTTCCTTTGCGAGGTGGAAATTGAAGAAAGCTTTTTTATATATATACACATATATGCATTTTCATGATGGCTTTGCAACTATTACCTTTCTTGCCGTTGTAGTTTGTCTTCTGTGGATTATCTTTGGATCTTGAACATGCATTTTATTGAGATTTCGGGTGTCAAGTAGCAGAAAACATACAGGTTGAAGCACTTCAGTCTTATTGGACAATGCCTCTTTTGACAGGGTGCCTGACTAAACCAACCTAGACCCCACCTTTAACAGCTCAATTCAGACGACGTTCCAGCATAGCAGCAAAATCATCTGATTCTCTCCTTTGGACACCTCATCCTCATCCTTTCTCCTCCTCTCCTCTCCTCTCCGTCCGTATCTTCTTCTTCTTCCATCTTGTTGGTGGCGGTTTAGACGGATGCGAGACTATGGAGCGTCTCGTGGAGCAGCTGGCTTCGTCTGTAGGCGGTGCGAGTAGCCGCCTGGGCTCTCGGCTTGATATATCGTGCGTTTTACCTTTCTGCGTCTGTTCAGTGAAAAGAAACATAAACTGACTTGTATTTGTTTCTTTCACAGACCTGCTTTACTTCAAGCCTCGTTTGTCCTCCTCGCCACCTTCATCTGCGGCCTCATTGTCCGAGCTGGCGCCGCCTTTGCTCAAGCGTCCTGGGCGTCTGATCCTCGCTGGTACCTCGTATACCCCCCAACGCTGCCCGAGAAAGAAACAACCGTCAAGCAGACCAGCATAAGAATCCCCGGAAGCTCAGCCATCCAATGCTACGCGCCCGCCACGGGACAATTCCTCGGCACCGTCGAAGCCACCACCGAAGAAGGCATCGATCGTGCCATTGCCGCCGCGGCAGAAGCGCAAAGGAAATGGGCTGATACGACGAGCTTTGCGCAGCGTAAAGCAGTCCTGCGCTCGCTCATGAATTACATCATGGATAACGCTGAGCAGATCTGCAAGATTGCCGGCTTGGACAGCGGCAAGACTATGGTGGACGCCCAGCTGGGCGAGATCCTCGTCACCATCGAGAAGATCCAGTGGACGCTCGCGCACGGCGAAAAGGCCCTGCGACCGTCCCGTAGACCGACCAACCTGCTTATGGCGTATAAGCGCAACACGGTGCATTACGAGCCGCTGGGCGTGGTGGCCGCGCTGGTCAGCTGGAACTACCCCTTCCACAACCTGATGGGCCCCATCATCAGCGCGCTCTTCAGCGGCAACGGCATCGTCGTCAAGGTGTCTGAGCAGACGGCCTGGTCGAGCAGATACTTCCTCGAAATTGCGCGCGGCGCCCTTGCTGCCCATGGCCACCACCCAGACCTCGTCCAGATGGTGGCGTGCTGGCCAGAGACTGCAGGCCACTTGACGTCTCACCCGGGCATCAGCCACATCACCTTCATCGGCTCCCAGACCGTCGCCCACCACGTTGCCGCCAGCGCCGCCAAGAGCCTCACGCCCGTCGTCGCCGAGCTCGGCGGCAAAGACCCCTTCATCGTGCTCGAGTCCGCCGGCGGCAGGAAAGGGAAAGACGGCGACCTCCCCCGCATCCGCGACATCATCCTCAGGGGCACCTTCCAAGCCGCCGGCCAGAACTGCATCGGCATCGAGCGCGTCATCTCCTCCGGCGCCGCCTACGACCGCCTCATCGAGATGCTCGAGCCCCGCGTCAAGGCCATCCGCCTCGGCCCCGACGCAGACATGGGCGCCATGATCTCCGACGCCTCCTTCTCGCGCCTTGAAGAGCTCATCAACGAGGCCGTCTCCCAAGGCGCACGCCTCCTCACCGGCGGCAAACGCTACGCCCACCCAGACCACCCAAGAGGCCACTACTTCCAGCCTACGCTCCTCGTCGACGTCACGCCCTCTATGCGCATCGCCCAAAACGAATGCTTCGCCCCCGTCCTTACTATGCTGCGCGCAAAGTCCTCCTCCGCAGAGGACATCCTTGCCGTCGCAAACGCCCCCAACTTCGGCCTCGGCGCCTCCGTCCACGGCTCCGAGCGCGATCCAGCCCTGCAGCCCATCGTCCGCGGCCTCAAGGCCGGCATGGTCGCCGTCAATGACTTTGCCGCCTACTACGCCGTCCAGCTCCCCTTTGGCGGCGTCGCCGGCTCTGGCTATGGTCGCTTCGCAGGCGAGGAAGGTCTCCGCGGCCTGTGCAACATCAAGGCCGTCTGTGAGGACCGCTTCGGCTGGCTGGGTGTCAAGACTGCCATCCCTCCCCCCGTACAGTACCCTATCGCGAGCCAGGATCGGTCTTGGCGATTTACTCAGGGCGTGGTGGAGGTGGGATACGGTGCATCGGCGAAGAAAGTCGCTGGTGTGAGCAAGATCTTGAAGAACATGTAAACGTGCCATATAGTAACTGGATAGATGTCTGGCTTTATTGGATGAAGGGATAATTCAATTTCTGCGAGAAACGTGAGTGGCAGCTAAGAGTATATATATATTATCAATCAATATTAATTGTAATCGTAATAGACGCATTCATCGCCTTCGAAGCACGTACACGTTAAGGCGAACGCCAGTTGCTATCAGTCCTCCGCAATTAGGTAGTTACTGCTTTTGGTGTACAAAGTCACATTATTGATGGCTCGTAAAGTCAATAGTAGCAATTTCAGGTTGATTGATCATAGCTAGTCTACCCATTCTTGATATAGTTTCAAGATACCCTTATGATTCAGCTATGATTCCTTGTCAACCTTGTTAAAAATCCTTATCCCTGGTATTGTCCGTTTGCCCTAGTTATAACCATCAAATTGTTCAGAAAGAAAAGACCCTGCCATAGCAGAATAGTGATCAACGCGCAAGATAGGCGTTTACCAGCTAGCTCCAGCAGCTGGTTGAGCGGCGTCGGCTCCCCAGCCGCCGCCAGAGTTGGCAGCTTCGCCAGTAACAGTTCTATCGTTTCCTCCCGAGCCGCCCCAGCCGCCGCCAGAATCGCCTTGGCCTTCATCGTCTGCGTTCCAGCCTCCGCCCTCATTACCACATCCCTCCCCGGCACCTGCAACGTCGTTGGGGTCGAAGTCAGATTCAGTCTCAAACTTCACCTTGGTTCCACTGGACCAATTTTCCGGTACGTATGACTGGAGGAAGTCGGGTATATCCTGATTGGTTTCCAGAAGAGTTCTGGTGAGCACACTAGCGAGAGGCTCATCACGTTCTGTAAAGAACGAGGTGGCGACACCTCGGTGGCCAATGCGTCCAGTGCGGCCTAGCCAAAGAGTTAGCAACTGTCATGTAAACACTTGATGAGGACTGAGGATTGGAGAGCAAATATCAGAAAGGGAAATCTTACCGATTCGATGGGTGTATTCTTCAATACCGCCGTATTCTATCGATGGGAGGTCGTAGTTTATAACGTGCATGACATTGCGGACATCAATTCCGCGAGCTGTCACGCCGGTCGCTACGAGAATGGGCGCATGGCCAGATCTGAAGGCTCGCATAGCAGCCTCCCGTTCAACTTGAGTGCGGTCACTATGAATGGAAGTGACCGGCAGCTTCATATTGAACAAAAAATCATCGAGCGTGTCGGCAGCTTGACGACTGTTGACAAAGATGATGGTACGAACACCATTCATCTCTTCGAGAAGAGTCAGAAGCGTTTCATTCTTCCCTTCACGACTGACTTCGACAATCATCTGCTTAATATTCTCTGTGGTGCTGCCGGCACGACCAACTCGGAAGCGCACATGTGAATCACACAAGTACTTCTTCGCAAGGTCTCGCGCAGCCTTGGGAAAGGTAGCAGAGAAGAGGCCGTAGTAGACATTTCCCACGTCTTGCTCTGTATGATGAGTCATTTGTTAGTGATCAGTGGCCCATGGAGACTAACATCTTCGGAAGAAAATACTTGCCTGCACCAGAGAGAATGGCCTGGAGTTCAGACTCCCAGTCATCGTTGAGCATCTCATCAGCCTCGTCAATGATCATGTACTTCAAGCGGCGCAGAGACAAGACTTCGGGACGTCCGATGAAATCTTTAAGGCGACCAGGAGTTCCAATCAAGATGTCGCAGCCTCGAGAAAGAAGGCCGCCCTGTTCGCGGACAGGAACTCCTCCATAGACGACACAAGGTCGGAGCATGGAGCGATAGCACAGCTTTCGCGCTTCGTTGAATATCTGCACGGCAAGTTCACGAGTAGGAACCACCACAACCACGAGTGGCTCAGCGATTACGTTGTCGATTCCTTCTTGGAATCGAGCCGGGTTGGGCCGAGGAGCCCCAAGCTTCTTGGCCTTTCCCATGAGCTTGCTCAAGATCGGGATCAAATAGGCCGCTGTCTTTCCAGAACCTTGAGGCAAGTTAGATATTGAGGTTGAATTGAGAGAAACAACATGTAGGTACTTACCAGTTTGGGCCACGCCAATCACGTCGTATCCTTGGAGGATAGCTGGGATGGTGAATTTTTGAATCGGGGTCGGCACTTCGTATCCACAGAGTTCGATGTTCCTGAGCATGACCGGATGAATTCCGGCATCCGCAAAGGTCTTGATATATTCGATTCTCTGCGGCCCCTCTTGGATCACCTCAATCTGCTCGATCCTGTATGCCTAATTAGTATCATGACTGTGAGCAGGGGATTGGAGACAAACTTTGAAAAGTCGAGGCCGGTCTGGCGATCTCTGCGGGACTCGGGATCCCCAAACAGTTCCACCTCTAGTTCATCAAATGCAGGGCCTACATCACCATACTCGTCCTTCCATTGATAAACCCTGGCATTACCGTCCCAGGTGGCAGCTGTTTCGGCTTCGGCCATGGCAGTGTAATCGAATGCTGTTCGCTCGACCCAGCCAGCAGGAGCAGGCTGGCCTCCAGCCTCCACGGCCGATCCTTCTTCTGGAACTGCCATATTGAAATGAGGATGATGCAGAGTTGATCAAGATGTCAGAAAAGCTAGTATGCTATTAGAATGTTGATTCAATCTAGAGATGAAGCTCGGTGAAGAGACGGAATAAAGGACGTGAGTTTTGTATGGGAAGGCTATGGGAGGAGTCTGACTGCCAAGTCAGGCAAAAGTGAGAGTCACTTGACAAGAGACTCCTAGGCGATGACATGCCTTGATGATGACTGCCGACGACTTGAGGAATCTCAAAGGGGTTGGGTAGAAGAGTTGCACAGAGAATTGAGGAATGCACGAGAAATCTGAAGGGGAGAGATGGAGAGATGATGCCGCAAAACGATGCCAAGAGAGAAAAAAAGAAATATCAACTCTGAAGATGCATGGAAGGGATGGGAGAGAAGACCATGGAATGAAAATACCTGCCTTGGCGAGAAGATATCCCAAAAGTCAAAGCACCGATGCAGCAGTGCCTGGCGGCCTCAAGGACGAAGAAGCGTTGGCAAAAGGGCGAACCTGTTTGAAAACTTGCGGCGACGAAGAGGAAGAGAGAAGAGAAGAGAAGAGAGAGGAAGAGGGAGGTGGGAGCCCTTCAAATAGCTGAGAAGAAGGCAGCTGCACGTGCACCGGGTGGCTTCCTCAGGATCAAAACAAACCTTTGGGAATTGGGCAGCCTTTAGTGAGCTACGTGCACCAGGCGGTGTGCTTCGGGGTGAGGATAAGGCTTATAGATAGAAAGAGGAGGAAAGATTAGGGGAGAAGAGCGCCTAGACGAGGAGGAAAGTCCGCTATAGAGTCACTATAAGGAATTCCACTTGACACACAGCTGCACAGCTGCACACATAGACATAACTCGAGTTGCTACAGTGATATCTCTTCTCGAATATTCTGATGAGTAGGAATATGCGTAGTTCAAACATCAAATCAGAGCATTTCGAGCTCCATGCCGCATCCTTGCATAAGGAGGTTGTTTTGGCGGGACGCTGCACAATCTGTCCGGCTGTAGATAACCAAATAGGATACGATCAAGTAATACAATACACTATCTGAATACCGTATTCTATCTTTCTTTTTATTTGGAGTAGCTTGTGCTGTGCCATAGCAGTAGCTGCGGTGAAAGGAGAGGCACCTGAGCTTTGCGATCATGGACATGCAGAAACTAAAACTGCATTTGTGTCTCGAATTTCTCACAAAGAAAAGAGAAGCAAAAGCAAACGTAAATTTATAGAGCTAGGAATAGTTTATTTTCATAATCTCTAGCTGTAGTTGTGTTACCGCATACCAATTTCCCATCATACGCCGTCTGCCCATATACGAGCGCCCTATATCATGAAAACAAGAAAGGAAGAAACATTACTTTGCGATCTTTGCTTCCAAAAGAAATTATTATAAAGGGTATCAGACAACATTCTCTTTACCACAGATCCAACAACCATTGGTCAGTCATCAGTTGAGAGTCAGAGCCATTATAGTCTCGCATCCCATCCGTCAAAACCTGATCGAGCCCAGCAACTGCCCTGCCCACCGCGCCGCCCTCTTTCTTCGCCTTGTCGATCCCCTTTGTGATAGGCTCCATAAACTTGCGAGCTAAAACTCCCTGTCTTGATTCTGGACTTGCGTACATCTCGCTCTCTTCGTCTCGCCTTTCTCCATAGAGGTTCAGATATTCAAAGGCGTGTGGATCGCGGGGTATCCTGTAAAGGTTATCCCAATAGTCTTGAGGACTCCAAGGAACGGGAGTTGGCGGCTTAAGCCCAACTCGAATGAATCTGGTTAGAATCGATATCTGGCGTGCGAGGACTTGGGCGTCTTTTGCTCGAAGTCCGGACCCTGGAGCCGATGTCCATCCAGCCGCTGATGATGACAGGGACCAGCCCATGATGATGCAAAATGTCTTTAGGGTTTTGAACCATCCGCCAGGGATGGCGACAAGCTCGTCCTCAGCAACGTCGAGAAGCCACTCCATAACTCCTAGTGAATCGCTGCTGATATCAGCCGAAAGATGGGTCATGCCGGCGCGAATGAATGTGATGGCTTCTCTAACGCTGTGCTTTGCTTGGTCTTTTGGAAGTGCGCGAAGGAGCTTTAGCAGCTGGCTTCGCACTGGTGTCGAGCTATCTGAGATGAGAGGAAGAACTTTCAAGAGGATGTTGTTTGTCCCAACGGGGTTGACTGGAGGTTGTGAGGAGAGTTGGCTGGTGAGGTAGGCCAAGGCATCGCGGCGCTGTTTGTCATTCCTTGAAGATGAAGCTAGAGAAAGATTGTGTTTGAATTGCTGAACAGCGTCTGGGGCAGCAGTTGATAATGACTGCTGGTTCATAACAATTGCTGGAGAGTGGTTGGCATTAGCCTTTTTGCATTGTGAAGGAATGTTGACAAGCCGTCGTACCTCTGGATTTGAAGCTGGTGTCTGTAAAATTTGAAGCCTTTGGAGCGGCTTTGCCTACTTTATACTTGGGTTTCTGCTCATCGGTAAGTAAAAATGGCACTGGATCGCATAGAGCATGTGAGAGACCATACCTGAAAATCCTTCTTCTTCTCCTTCTTCTTTTTGGCGCTGGAACCCATCTTGACGGCGGTTTATTGTAGTAATCAAATGATGATATAGATCAAAAAGAATAAAAGAGTTGTGAATTGTACTTGAGCTGTCTTCGGTATTGTCCAATGATATTTCATGCACTTCATCAACGATTTGATATTTTCGATGCGCCGCAGATTCCAGATGCCGCTGGTGGGTCGACAAATTTTGGCGGTGGCGCAGGGCAGAATTGCAATGTGCCGCGCGACCAGAGCTACGTCAATGGAGCCGCTCGCATAGTGGCACCCTGAGCAGAGCTACTGGATATGAACGTCTTGGTCGCATCTATCAATATCTAGAAATTCTTCAAAAAAAAAAAATTGCCTTTTGAATCCTCAAAGCGAAGCGCGCGCGCACTTATTCACGAAATGTCAGAAAACCCTACGGTATGAGAGGCTCCAAACTACGTTACATATTCCCTCGATTTGCGCCTCTAGCTAATGGCTTTTTCTCCAGACAAACGGGCACGACGCCCTCGAGGAGAAGCTTGGTCGCCTTGTTAGGAAACCCGGCGTCAAGGCAAGCATGGTCCTGGACAGAGCGAGCGGCGCAATCCTCAAGACGAGCGGCCAGGTCGACGCGCTCCAGACAGCAAAGGCGCGAAACGCGTCGACGGCCGCCTCCTTTTCCAACGATGCGCCCGCAGCGGAGGAGGGCGAGTCGCAAGGCATCGAGGAGTTTGCGGAGATGATCTGGAATTTTGTGAACAGCTCCGGACAGCTGGTACAAGACGTGGACGAAGAGGTACGCGCACACGACCCTTGTTGCGACGCTTCCCCCTCTTAGCCCCCTTTTTTGATCGTCTACGTTGGCACGATGATAGGGAGACTAACTCGGGTTGCAGGACGAGTTGAAGCTGCTCCGATTGCGAACGAAACGACAGGAGATTGTCATAGTACCCGACCTGAAGTACCTGCTCATAGTGATTCACGATACTCAACCGGCTTGAAGCACTCCTTCTTCTTTCTTTTGATAAAGGTACGGCGGGATACAACAGGGGCTACATTATAATATATAATACAGAGGCGCAAACAAACGATATAGAAGGCAACGGAAGAGCGCTTGCACCAAAGAGGGCACAGGGGCATTCACCATATGCGGAGTTGGGAATTACGAAAGAAACGCAGAGACGGCCGCTTAACTCCGCATTGTATACGAGTAAACCACCGGGGGAACAGGGAGATTTGGCATTGGTCCTTGATATTATTGTTTTAATGAAGCATAGCTATACGGCGCACAGGATGGCGAAATGATACCCCCAGGAAAACATTCATGCCCATCGAAACACGTGCGTAAATGATATTACAATAGGTACCGAGCTGCTGCCTGGCGTGACAAGATATCCCTGCGCAACAGCCGCCTTACTCACCATCGTGCGACGTCCTTTTTTTTTCTTTCTTGGCGTCTCTCCTACGAATGTATGTGTCTGTGGTGTTGGTGGACTGAATCAAAGATGTCTATGCAAGCGCCGTCTACTCTACTCTGTGCATCTACTGCTGTTACTAGCATTACCGCTACTTGTGCAAATAACGATGCTCAGCCCGCTACATATCAGAGAATGAGAAACACGCAGGGCTTGGCGCTCGGCTGCGACTCAGAGTAATTTCAATTTCGTCGGCCGCGCGGCCTCGGTGTGCAGGAGAAGTGGCAAGAACCGAAGAACAGGATAGAGTTATCAATCTCAGCAACTTTGATAACCCTTTTTCTCGGCTCCCTGAAATCTTGGCTTCGTGATCTTCGGGGGTAGGGTAGGCGCCAAGAGTTTTTTTTTGGTGTCGTTCATGTGAGGGACCTCCTGCTGCAGCACAATGCCAAGCACCAGAACACGCCAATCCTCTGGTATTGACTCTGAGCAGATCAATTGATGCAGACATACCTAGGTCTGTCGTAGGGTACATGTACATTGCAGATACATGCAACCACTCTTCTTTTCACGTAAGCCTTGCATCCAGTGCTGCCGCTTCGCTGCAGTGCGACCATGGTCATGCTACGAGGACAGCAAAATGCGCCTATTTTCGGCGCCATCCATCCCCTAAAGTCTTTCTACTGTCACTTCTGGTACCACCGCAACGGCGGGTGACTGGTGATCCATCATACGAGAGAGAGAAAAAGAGCGACTCCCGCCCAGGGGCTTTGCGCCAGGGCCCAGCGCAGCCAATCAGCTGCAGGCTGCTGCAGGCTGCTGCAGGCGGCTTGGGAGGTGATGGTGACAAACAGCCAGTGCCAGTTGCAGTTCCAGCGCAGATCTGGACGAGGCGAGCAAAAGAGCGCTGATTGCCGACCCCAGCACGCCAGATGAGCTCAGATGGACCAGGAGCTCAAAGGCCCCATTAATTACGGCGTTAGGGAGCTCGAAAATGCCATGCCGCATTGCGTGCCGCTGAAATTGCTTGCTGAGGCGCTCTGATGGCGCAGCGCAGCTCAGGGGGGAAATGGACCCTTGTCCGCCGAGAAAGCCGCTGGACGGCCCCATTCCACGGGTGCCGCAACGCGAGCGCATCAATGCCTGTACGGCACCGGCTAGTGCAGCTGCTAGGCGTTTTGGGGGTCCATTTCCTGTTTCTACTGTACTCCAGTCTGGTAGCTCTATGGGCAGCTGGTAGAGAGGCATTGGTTTGGGGTGGGTGGCATTCGCTTGGAGACTCAAATGGTGTTATCCAGGCAGCAGACCACCGGTGTAATTGATGTGTACGCACATGTACCAGGTACGAGGACTTGTTGCGCCGGTTGTGATTTACAGTTACGCCTGCCTATTTGTAAAATGCGGGGGAATCTAGGGACCTGCCGATAGACCGGTGACTTCAATATGACAGCGACAGTGACAGTAACAGGCGGGTGGCGAGCAGACACGGCACGCGACCCTGTTTTGCTTCAATTCGACGTGCAGAGCCGTTTTGAACAGCCAAGCGGCGAATTGCAAACAGCTGCATCTGCACGCCGTACGAGCTGTTCTTGCTTCACGGACACCGCGGCGAGCCATTCAGCATCCTGGTAGCGGCCCCCCCACGCCCCCATCCTCGGCTGCTTGACAAGCAAATCAAAACAAAACAAAGCAAAACAGCGAGAGGGAAGGGAGAGGCAAAAGCAGCGCAGAGGCAGCAATTGTCACGGACTGGCTACTGGACCAATTGTCTGTAAAAGCAAACAACAGTCAGCTACAGTACTGTAATACTGCCTGCTGCCCCCTGAACGCCGGGACGCTGCAGTGCAAGTAAGCTTCAAATGTCTCATTACAGTGCCCTTGTTTTGCTGCCAACTAGCCACCTGACCATCGTTTCCGAGAATAGCGCTGTCTCTCCTTGCTGGAGCAGTCGATGTCCCTTTGGCTGGTCCCTTGTCTCTGTTTGAAGCTGTGGTTGGTGGTGCCCCGCTGCTGATGGCCAACTCTCCGCAGCTAAATTGGGCCTGCTAACTGAACCCGGAGATCCGGCGAGATCGAACCATCTTCAGTGCCATTTTTGCTCTGCTGTCGACTTGTCTCTTTATATTTTTTTTTTCTCTGTCAAAATTCCTTATTCCTTTCGCCGAGGGTCCAGCGAGCTTTTACCGAAAAATTAAATACACGTCTCCAAAGTGCTTGTTGCTACCGGCTAATGCATCCTCCATCGACCCCAACTAGGTAACGCCCACCAATCCACAGAAGAGATGCAAGCAGCGGCCTCGACCCAATTCCTCAGTGACGATGACGTTGAGAAACTCTTTTCTGGAGCTCCCCAGTACTTCGCCCGCAGCGAGAGTCACTTCCCAGGCGCGCCTCATCCCAGCGTAGCCTTTCCCTTTGACGAGGAATTGGAGATCCGCGACCTGACGGATCATGTCCAAATAGAAGCCAAGGCCTGGCGGGGCGTCACTGTGTGGCCTCACCTGACGAGGGACGTCAACCATGACCCCGAAGCCAAGCAAGAGGTCGAAGATACGCGCAAGGCCCATTTCCATGTGCGGGTTTGTGAGCGCCCCAACATGCTGAGCATGCAGGGGCTGGAGAAGGGCACCATGGGCTACCAGGCTGCTCTGGAGCTGGCCGTCAGCGACTCACTCGAAGAGGAACAGTTTGGCTTTGAGAGTCTGGGCACCAAGGCCCGGGCCGTCGTCGAGGCTCGTGAGCGCATGCTGTCCCACGATGGCTGGCTACATCGTCTTCCCCAAGGAGAGCTGCTGGATCGGCTCAGGCGCAATGGCGAGATCTACCGCAACAACGATCTTCGCAAGAAGCCATCCAAGGAGACTTACAATGACCTGTTCCACGTCTTGATGAGACCAAACAAAATCCCACCTGTTGATAAGAAAGACCCCCACAGCCTTGCCAACCAGATCAGTGCCATCCTCAAGTGCATGGGAGCTCCCAATGTCTGGATTGACCTGTCGCATGTCGAATGGCGTGTTCGGCTGGGCCAGATTCTTTGGGGCAAGCCGCACGGTGACGAGTTGGACGACAGCACCGCTATCGTCGATGCAGAAAGTTCCGCCGAGCGGGCAGAAGAAAAGTACTGGCTACTAATGCAGATTTTGGTGTCCTCCGAGTTGCTCATCCGCCTGGACGCAATTACTGACGGCGAGGAGTATGGAGCGGCCCATTTCAGAGCCATTGACGTTGTTCAGTTTGAGAGGGCCGCAAATGCTTCTGTCAAGTGGTCGCTGCTCTTAGCTCGAAGCTGGCTGAACAACATTGAAATCTTGCGAGAGGACTACGGGTCTTTGACAACACGGCCTGAACCTCGCCGTGGAAGCAGCGGCGTTGCTCCCGGCTGGTTGGCGTCCCTCGCCAGCAAGATTTCTCTCCACGACCAACACAAACACGGAAACCGACCCCCGTCGCCGCCTCATTTTTATACCATTCGAGGAAGATACGGCCAACGCCAGGTCGAAGGGCTAACCCACTTTGCGCGAAAACTCATGTGGCCAGGTATTGACGGCTACGAGAGACGCATCTCGGAAAAGGTGCAGAAGTTGGCTGCGCCATCGTCATTGCTGCAGCCCCCGACGCCGACACCCTACAAGAAAGAGCCCGAGCAGGATTCGTATTTTGGTGCCTGGGATGTTACATGCCAGCGCGGACATCATAAGGAGCGAGCCCGGGCTAGGCGGCGTCGAATGGCGGCAGCGCTGCACGCGGACGGCTGGCTTTCCAAGTCCTATGTGTTTGGGCTCATGATGCCTGGAGATGCCGTCAGTCATTTTCTGATGGCGACGTTGCTCGAGAATGATAGCGAGGCTTTGTCCAGAATAGGCTCGTTTGCCAACTTGAGCAGCGGCTTCGTTTACCACGATAAGAGTTTCTGGAGCACATCTTGCATTGTCGGTAGAGTTTTGGCGGCCGGCATGGGATCTGCTGAATGCATGGGATGGATTTCGACAGACATTATTCCTGAGGGAGTGACCGAGGGGTGGATTAGTATTGATGTGCATGATGTTGCCTGTGAGTTATTATCCCCCATCGTCCACGCCTGCCTATCCTTTTACTGACCATTAGCCAGCCGACCTTTCGCAGCTCGGGAAGAAGGGGAGAATTTGGGGCAAGAAACGAGTCGAGCGCGAATCTTATATTCTCGGGAATGGCGATGAAGAGACGATTTCTCCCGCAGATTTCATAATCCCTCACGAAAACAACTACGCACCCTCTCCACCGGGTGTGTTTGTCGAGCTGCAGTCGCTAGAGCTCGATAAGCCAGTGGCAGAATGTGTCCATCCGACACCCCTGGCGGAGATTATAGTGACTCCCATTCACGAGAACCACAGAGCTCCGGATCTGTTGTCGTACCCTGCCAAGGTCAACTTTTTTGTATCGATCGATGGAGAGAAGACTGAGACGGTTACTTTTTCGCTGCTGTACGACATCAACTTTGTCACCGCACACCCGTGTTCCCCGTCTTCACGGGTCAGGGTCCTCAAGTCTCCTTCCAGCCCGACGCTGCAGCAGATTGACTTTACCGGTTCCAATGCGCTGGGTGCCGGGTCTCGGTCGATGTATCGAGCAGGTAAGCATTCTGTTACTCTGGATGGTTCTGATGTCTTTCGATATGCTAACGAAAATGGTAGGCCACCCACTGCACAAGTACTATAATTACACAGTGATCCACATCTCCGAGCTTTTGAATAGACGAGATGCCGAGCTCGCAGACCTCCTTACGCCTCCTGGCGGGCAAGCCGCTCAGAATCAAGTGTTAGTAGTCGATTGCATTACCAACTTCTCGTCGGTGCCAACGTCACCGGTCGCCGACCGCTCGGACTCGCCTGGCTCTTCGCCTATTGAGCGCAAGGGTAGCTTCTCAGCAGCGGCCAAGATGCACTTTGAGTCTCGGAAGCGGCAATTCGGCTCCGACATGGAGATTCTCATCCGAGCTCTATGCTCTCAGAGAGGATGGAACGCCATCATTAGCAGGAGAAAGCGAGGATGCCTGGCCTGCGCAATCCGCGAGGCAGGAGCTCTGGGTTGGAAACTCATAATCAGAGTGCCATAAGATGAAAATTTGGCGTTTAAAAAAAAAAAAAAAGGCATCAGGAAAAGCCTGTGGGAGAACAAAAAAGGAGATCCCAACTCATAATGGAACAACAGAAAAAAATACCCCTATTTTACGGAGTTCAACTTGGCGATGGCGGAAGTTTGAAATCCGGAATATGTTTTTGCAAGGCCAGTTTTGGAAGAGTTTTTTTTTTTTTTTTTATAAATGTTGAGCGAGCGAGCGGAATTTAGTTGTATGATAGTCAGCATCTTTGTAATTGTTGGGTTATAACCGCGAGTCGCAGGAGCGATTCTTGCAAAGATGAGGTGAGAACGCCTCGAGACCGATTGGGAGAGTCTTTTCTTGCAGCTTGACTCGGCCATAGGAAACATGAATGGAACCGATATAATTGTGTCTTGATAAATACTCTTTCGCTCCTCGTGAAATTCCGGGACGAAAAGTGCTGATAAAGCTGGACCCAGCCTGATGTCGAAAAAGCGGCGGAGCGGCTTCACCCACAATACGCTAAGCCTAGCTAGGAGCGGATTGGAAGCTACCAAGCTACGCTGTGAATTCCTCCGCATTGCCATCGTGGCCACACATTGGCGCAATCATCACCAGCCTCGTCGCCAGCAGATCCCATCAATTCATTGAAATCATGGCGCCCAACACCAAGGATATGCGACGGCCCGACCTGAGTAAGTTGCTGCCTCTTTCTCTTGCCTTGCCTTGCCTCTTCTCCCCGCGCATTCCGCAGCGTGGCGATGGATCTCTCTTCAATGGATCTGGTGCTTGCGCCGTCTACATGCCATTGTGTCCATAACTGTTTGAAAGGGCTGTAGCTGACTTGTCTTTGACGATACTTTTAGTCGTTCCGTATCAGGAGCCCAGCGTCAAGGGCGAGGTCACGGATTTCTCGTCTACGCTTTCGTCGACGTTGCCCATGGCGGCTATGTTTATGCGAAATAAGTTTGTTGGATGGTACGAGATATACCTTACGATTTACATACACATACAATGGAGGATGGATATTTGGGAATGGAAGAGAAAGGGGCGAAGTAATGTGCTGACGTATTGTGTAGGATTGCCGTTGTGTTTTCCATCCAAACGTGGCTGGGAGAGAGCGAGGATAGCCAGAAGAGCGGTGGCACGCCCGGTTACTTTTCCGTTGGCATGTCAGGTATGTTTCTTTCCCCTTTCTATCTATCCTAAGGGCGGCCCATTGTGATGACTGAGGGATTATCTGAAAAGAGCTTTTTTACTAATGAAGTTTTGTGTAGCCTTGGCTTTGGCGGTGACATATCTGCCTTTGTTCATTCCTCCTCCTGGTGCGAAGACGACTCCCCCGCCTCCGGCGCCGTTGCAATAGATTATTTGTCGAACACTGGAACATTGTGCGGCTGGTAATGAGAGGATGAGGGTGGAGGGGATTGATGAAAATACCGTGGCCTTTGCCCAATTTGGAGGTGATTAGCTGCAAGGCTTGTTAATAATGTGCCATTTATGTTGAAGTATATATAAAATAATTCTGGACAATAATGAGGCGACTCATATCTTATGGCATTGACGGTTATGGGTGCGGTACATGTTAGTGTGCGATGGAGCTTGACTCTAATCAATATAATACTCTATGCGCCAGCCCAAAAGATTGTTTCAATCCCGCACAAATTGGCAATTGCATCGCAGCCTCGCGAAAATCAGATGTAAAGCTGTTTGTTTTTCCCCAGCCTTGTCAACATCCCCCAATTGGCTGCTAAGCTGCTAATAATCTGCAGCGCTTACCAAGTTGAGGTCGGCACCTCGCCCTGCACGCGATTGGCCCCAAACGCCACGGGGGGCAACGGACCAGGTGCCTGAAACTGAACTTGACACAAGAAGCGTCGGGGGGGGCATCAGACTCCTATAACCGCCTTTTCTCTCTTGTCGCTGCATTCTTTCCTTCTTTTTCATTCTCTTTGTCTTTTAGTCACATTACGTTACATTCTTACTGTTGGGTTTTTCTTGCTTTAAGCGTCTACTATATTCTGCATTTACTGTTCATGCTGCTGCTTTAATTCTCGCAAGTTCTCACAATACCACCTGGTCTTAACCACCTTCACCTCACCTTGACATTCATAAAAATGAAGACGACTTTCTTCCTCGCTCTGCTCTCAACGGCGGTCTCATTTGCCGCTGCTGATATCGTCATCACGCCGGTATTCGCAGACCAGATTGTGCAGAAGCAATCTGGAGACTGCTTCTTTGGCGTTGTAACACCTCAGGGATGCGCGTATGTCTTTCCCCCCCTTGCTCTCACTTCTCATTCTTAGATGTGTATATAAATGTATACGCAATTTGATGAAGATTTCGAAAGGCTAATTTTATTCTAGACCCCAACGAGGATAGAAGCTACAATGCGCAACTTTTCGCAGAAAACAAAACACATATATATACCCATCTAAATTCTGCACACAACTATGAGGTATTCTGACCGAAGAGTCGATACATGTCCGCGATGGAAATGGGCACGAAATCTAATCTCCGACGCCGTTTATTCACGGGGACTTGCTGACTTCGCTGCGCGAGGCTGAAAAGCATACCTTCTTGAGAGGCGGATATAATTACTACTACGGCGTTTTATTGGCGGAAAAAGGGGAGGCGCATTACTACGACATGCTGTGTTGATTGCCTACCATGGGAGTTTTTTTTTTGCTTTTCTTATTATACCGTATACACACATCAGTTATACTATATCTAAGATTGATACTCTAGAAGGGTCTTGTTGAAAGCAGATCCAGATACCCAATTACATACATCCATTTCTCAGCCATCTCTGTCGTAGTTGTAATCCACAGTGACGTGCTGCTGCTACTGGGACAGATGTGCTCAATATGTCTTTTCTTTTCTTTAGCAGCCCAGACGTAACAAGCCAATTACATGAAAATAAACAAGTCAAACAAGATTGTCAAAAGCTTTCCATCCTATAACCTCGTAAAGATAGCAGAGAGCGGTCTCCATTGTAGACCAAAAAAAGCCCCATTCAAAACGCCACCGTCTTCAATCAACTCACAGCTCACTACACTTTATACAGGGCACATGCAAATTCATTCCCCAAAAAGTGACGCAAAAATAACCGACAAACAAAAATGAACATAAGAGGCAAATCTCACCACAACCTCTCATTTCACATCCCTGCCCCTGCTCAGCGCCAACAGTAGCAGAAGAAAAAAAGCCCCTTGCCCACAGTTCCCACCTCGTAGCGTCACGTCCGACACTGGTGCAGCCCCTTGGGTGCTGGGCTCTGAAACCGCTTCGATAGAGACGAGTTTCGCGGTAAATTAGGCCTTGGCCACAAAGTCTTTCCCCCATGACTTGGATTGTCAGTTCACAGGCAGCAGTATAGCATACTCTTTGAGTCTGTTGTATTGCCAATGTCAGGCTGGCGTAGCGATGCTTTGAGACTATCAATTTTTCAGAGTTATCATCCTCACGATGCAAAGTTAACAAAAATGATTTTAAATGGTATAAATTCGATCCACTGTATACAAGTATACTCACTATTCCTAACAATCCAATAAGCTACATATCATGTCGCAGACAAATAAAATAAAAAAGAAAAATCTCCTTCCTCCCTGATCTCCCCGCGATTGGGGCTGTAGATAGGCTTAGTCGAAAACCGACTTACAGCCCAATAATATTTTCTATCTCCGTACATATCTCATAACATCTCATGATGATGCAGAAAGGTCAGCAACGCAAGAAGCGATCTGGTTATTGCAGTCACCGACTGAAACACCATTGACTGACTTGCTGTTCACAGCATTAGCGCACTGGTTGTTCTGAATGTCACAGGCTCTCTGGGCAGCAGCAGCCTTGGTGGTGAAAGTGTTGCCCTGGACTTCAAAAGGTCTGTCGGCGTTGCCAGACTGGGAGACCGGGGGAGCGGCAATGCCTCCCAGAGCGTTGGCAGTAGTGGCACCACCGGCTCCAGAGGCGGCGTTGGAAACAGCAGCAGCAGTGGCGGCAGGAGCACCAGTGGCAGCAGCAGCATTTCCAGCAGCGACGCTGGTAGCAGCCTGGGCGTTGTTGCCTCCCTTGCCACCCTTGCGTCCACCTCGTCCACCTCGACGGCCGCCCTGACCAGCCTGACCAGCCTGACCAGCTTGACCGGTTTGACCAGCCTGGCCGGTTTGACCGTTCTGTCCAGTCTGTCCAGTCTGTCCGTTGTTCTGACCCTGACCGTTCTGACCAGCCTGTCCGTTGTTCTGGCCCTGGCCATTCTGTCCAGTAGCATCGGCGGTACCGTTGTTGTTGTTATCTCCAGTTTGAACGCTGCCAGTGCCGGCGTTGTTTGTGGAACCAGCACCGTTCTGACCCTGACCGTTCTGTCCAGTCTGTCCGTTCTGTCCAGCCTGACCGTTGTTCTGACCAGTCTGTCCGTTCTGTCCAGCCTGACCGTTGTTCTGACCAGTCTGTCCGTTTTGTCCAGCCTGACCGTTGTTCTGGCCCTGGCCGTTCTGGCCCTGGCCGTTCTGTCCAGCTTGTCCATTGTTTCCAGCGGCGCCAGCATTGTTAGTGCCAGCATTGTTGTTGCCAGCATTTCCGTTGCCGTTGTTGCCGTTGTTACCGCCGTTGCCGCCGTTGTCGCTTATAGAGAAGCGGACACAGTCATCCTGGGCACCACGCTGAGCCACAGGCATCAGCACAGGCTGGTGGTTGGCAGCAGCAGACATGGAGCAGAGACGGTAGTTGCCGGCGGGCAGACCACCGTCAACTGTGGCAGAAAGCAGGCCGTTGCCGTTACCAGCGTCGTTGATACCCTTGAAGAAGACGAAGCTCTGAGGGTCAAGGGGCTGGGAAGGGGTCTGGCTGTTACCCATGCTCTGGACGGTAACGTGAGTGTGACCGATAATGTTACCGCTTCCATCAAGGTCCTGAGGAGCCGAGTAGTAGGTGTTGGTAGCGTTGGTAAAGCTACCAGGGGCAAAGTTGATCATTTGCACCTGGATGTCGAAAGTTTGGTTGGAGGCAATGTTGTCACCATTTTGGGGGTTTACGAAAAGAGACGAAACCATGTTGTTGACGCCAGGAATGTTACCCATGGGGATACCATTGCAAGAGCCCGTCTTGACTTGAGCACCGTTGGTGAGAGTCTTGCCCTGACAGAAGTTGATGAAGTTGGCATTGTCACTATGCCTTAATTAGCCATTATCCGATATAAGACTAGATCCAGAGACACTCACGTAGCCGAAGCGACCTGACCCTCGCCACCAGGGTTGTTACCATCTTGCTGGGAACCAGTCTGAACAAGGTTGGAGTTCAACGCCAAGTTAGCGCCACCGTTGTTTGCGTTGCCGCCCTGGTTGTTTCCCTGGTTGCCCTGGTTGTTGCCCTGATTGCCCTGATTACCACCGTTGTTGCCACCGTTCTGACCGCGTTGGCGTCGTTCTAAAGCGCGGCCGAATGGAGATCGTCGCTCGATGGACGCAGCGTCAGCCAGAACAGCCAGGCCGACGAGGCCGGTAAGAACATTCTTGATTTGCATATTGAAAGATGTAAAGAGAAATGTTTTAAAAAAAGAAGAGGAGAATAAAAAAGCTTGGGGTTTGAAATTGAGGAATTGGTACCAGACCAGAGTCGAAAAGAGAGAAAATGAAGTGTCACAGACACAAAGAAAGAAGAGAATGAACGAAAGAGAAGGCGAACGACCAGGTCGCTTAGAGGATTAAGGAAAAGGAATGGTTGGAGGATGAGGAGAAGAGAAAGAGAAACAACAGGAGGGGGGAGCGAGGCCATTATAGCTTCGAGACGCCAAGGCCTTTGGCGTCAATGCAAACCGCAGATACGGAGTCGAAACAAGACATCGGGAAGCCGGCACGACTAGGGATTGGGAACAGTGGCGCTTCAGTTCCAGAAACAGAACGGGGAAGCCATCCACTTTCATGAACGGGTGCGGTTCCATGAGCCTCAGACGGTTCACGACAGATCCGAGGGCAAGACCAGGGCCAGAGACCGGGGGTCGCTTTTGGCTTACAGGCCGCCCTGGCTGGACTTTTGGAGCGAATAGGACGGCGGCCTAAAATGGCAATTCAAGGATCCAATTCCTATAATGACGGCGCGGTGCAACCAGCTGCGACGGCATTAGCGCTGTCTGAAGAGTCGGGGCTTCGAAACAGCCTCCGAGAAGGTCTAACCGCCTCTCCACGCAGGTACAAGAGATCTGCTGGGGCTTGAAAAGCCAGGGGTCCTTTGGCTGATGGAGCTCGCTCAATCCATTGTTTCTGCTTGCACTTTGGTCTCCGTATACTAGATTCTAGGTCTTGTGCTAGGGCAGTACGGGGTAACTAGTAGATTTAGCTGTGAGCAAAGTTAGTAAAAAGAATAGAAATACCTAGAGGTGTAAGTGAAAACAAATCATTCACCTTGTACTCTGTCATACAGACAAATGACACAGCCGTGCCTTTGTAATGGACAGCCATCCAATGCCACAATGCCTCCCGCATTGCTCGCGTGAGCCCGGAATTAGAGTTATTTCTCAGGGTCTTCAGGCGCCGTGGCAGCTCAGCAGGCGGAGTGTCAAGGCCGTAGCTGAGATGAACAGCCCCGGCGCTGTCGCAGATTAAAGTACGGATGCCACTGATGCGGCTTCAGGCGTCTCGGGGGCGGCTGTGGCCAATCAGGAGGCCAGATCGGCAGCCTCCATGTGGCGCTTCGCGTTTCGGTTGTAGGCGACACGGAGAGCGCCCGAGCACTGGCTGTTTGAGGGGCTCTGCTTGCTTTGCTGAATTCGATGGTAATGCAGAAGCAGCAAGAATCGCGATGCTGGAATTACTGAGCTCAATACGTTGGTTGGGGAATGGCTGAATAGTTGATCCGAAGCAGCAGCACGTGGCTAATATGGCCGCAGGGCTACGCGAGGAGACGTTACAGCACGTTTACAGTGGACATACCGCTGTAGTTGCAGCAGCTTACAATATACAGACAACCAGACATCAAGAAGGATATCGGCAATCAATCACAGTAAGATATCAAGACTCGTCACTAAATCGACACTGTTCGTTCCCTTCTGTATACATCTGATAGGTATTAATCCGCGTTAGAAGCTAGACTCTAATCCCAATAGTAACAGAATAAGGCATTTTTGATTACCAGCCAAGACCGCCCTAGAGCAGCAAGATCGATATTTACATCCACCCCTGCAGCTCCCAATTGTCATCACTTGCCCAAGGCAACTATAACGAGAGACAAGCATGTTGATACAACTACCGCCTTCGAGCGGCATCCTCCATACGGTAATCCATAAACGTGCGCAGAAATGCACACCTTCGAAACATCCTGAAGTGGAACTTTGACGGTTGGTTTTAAGAACAATGTCAGCCAAGCATTTGCTGGCTTGGCATTTCCGGAGCTCTACTGCCAGTAAAATGCTTAAACCCACATGATGTAACCCTCTCCCGTCTTCTGTTTGGCGCCCTGTGTTGTAAGAAATGGGTGGTCTCGCAGCCAGTAAATTGCAGCACCGCTATGCATCGGCACAGGGTGGCCCAGATCCAGGGCCGCATTGATGTGGAGGTCGGTTGTGATTAGCAGTCATTTCAAAGCGATGCGCTTGGCTTTGATAATCAAACTCCTGTACAACAAGACTAACAGCGGCGACCTGGCAGTCGAGCTATTGTCCTACGCGAGGCACATAATCAGGGGCCGTCGCGAAGAAGATTAGCCTCGGAGTCCGTCCATCTCAAGTTGATGAATCCCGAACCTCAGCTGAACGCCGCATATTAGGTAGCTGGGCTGGCTATAGTACTCTACTCCGTATGACAGATACTATCATAATGTAAATGATGGGGTAGGGAGCTTGTTTCATTCCCAAAATCTGCCTGTATTGCAGCAAGTGGCCGCAGACAAAGGAACCTTCAACTCGGTAAATCGGAACAATAACCCCAGCTCTCTATCAACTCCTTTCAAGGTTGTTAATCTCCTCTGCACGGTCACCTTTTGGCGTTGCTTATATCCGGGCAAAGTGCCCAGGCACAGCTCCGCTCGACACGTTTGTGACAAGTCCCTTTCGTTTCTTCGTATCGAAGAAAAAGCGAAAAAAGTCCTTGAAACTTCAGGGGGGCCTGGGCATAGGCGCAAAAATGACAAACGAGGGGACAGGTGAAGAAAGGAATTTGAAAGATGCATATTGCAAGAGGTCCACAGTGCCGTTTGCCGGACGTGAAACACCTCCTTGGCGCTCGTTAAACGCCATCTGAAACAGCGCCCTGCGGCCCAAAACAGAGCGCGCCGTGCTGTGGCTGACAGCTTCTCGAGGAACGTCCATTCCCGGTCTCATCTTCTTGGCAAAGGACGTCATCGGACACAGAGAAAGCGTGGTGGAATTGGGAATCTTTGAACCTAAAGGTTGCCGTTTTCCGTAATACGGGGGTCGAGGCTTTGTGGTGATGGCCGCCTCGCGTACCCTGGAACGAAACAGGAGGTGGAAAGAGGAAAAGACACAATGGAGATGCAATTAGTTGATGAAACATTTGTCTTGGCAATTCCAAATCCAGGCACTAGATTGGATCGAGTTTCTCGTTTAAACTTTTGAATGCAGAGTTGCGTTGAGAAGTAACTCTCGAGTGTATAGTACTAATAGATATTAGTCCTGGTAGTACTAGTAGTATACACAAGGCCACTCAAGATGTTAGAAATCTTCAACACACACGAGTTCCAAAATTGAAGCAAAGACTACGAAAGGAACACACCCTCAAAGGCAGTTCAGCAATAGGTATGATGTATTTATTGTCTTTTGACAGTCATTGCACTGAAAACTTGTGATCCCTAATGTCTCTCTTCGCTATGTCCACGACTCAGCCTAGCATACCTATATAAGCATGCCAAATACTGGTCATCAAGCCAACAATCCCTTTACTCCATTTAAGATCGATCAGAGTGATCAAGTACGGCCACCGTATAATGTATGTCAAGAAATAAGATCTGCAGCTGATTGAAGATTTACAACAACAGGTGTTGAGAAAGGTTGAAGACTATTAATGCGCCAATCCATTGAAGACAGAGATTATTTAGTGATACATGTCTGCCTGTCCATGAAAGGGCGGTAACCATGACTATCTACTAATTCATCAACAGATACAGCCTCTGGGGGACTTAAGAATGCCGTGAAGGAGAGTGGCGCGACTTATGGGTGGCGAACAAAAGTTCCGTGCTTATGCAAATGAGGATCTCATGGAAGAGTACAAATGCTTGTGAATGACGGGGCAGTGTAGCAGTCATGCGTCCTACCAGTAATATTCTATGTTTTGGACGAACAGATGCGAGCAAGCACACGCACATTTTCGCTCAGTTACTACATGCATTGTGCCAATGTGAATTCAGTAATCGTTCATTGACCAAGAATTGCTAACCAAAATTATGACTGTGTATCCAAAGGCACTACTATACTCGCCTGCTACCCTTCATGATATTACTGGCAGATTTAAAAAGCAAAGATCTCCCTCTTTCTATGCATAGTCTATCATAGCTCGCCAATCGGCTCCTCCATAAATTCATCCAAAGGCTCTTCCATATAGTCTTCTGTAGGCAGCTCTCCAGTGTAGCTCGCCTCCAGCTTCAGGTATTGATCGACAATCTTGTCCAACCAGGCTGCCATGCGGTAACCGGCACGGGCGACTTGCTTTTCGAGCATAGGGGCTGCCTTTTCGTAGTAGTCGCCACTCAGCTCTTTGCCAGCAATGGCCTTGGGACCCTCGGGGAAGACTACAAGTCGATAAGATTAGTAAAAGAGCTATAGTTTTGCGCAGAAGTTGGGCTGGACCTACCATACTGGCACACGAGCTTGTTACATTCGCGTGACCAAGCCAATGCCGTCTCTTCCGGGTTGCCAAAGTCCAAGTCTGCCAGCCAATCGTCCTTTTCATCTGCGTAGATGCCGCTGTTGATCTTCTTTGTAAGATCTGCAGACCACTTCTCCGCCCATTGATATGGCTTTCTACCACGCATGCCAAGCCATTTCTCTGTGATGGAGCTGTCCCAAACGTGATGCAGATTGAAATCTCGCCCATTCCACAAGACGTGGATACCGTTTCCACCCCTTGCGACATCCTCGTTATGCAGCGGCTGGTGCAGGTCGCCAACGAAGTGAATGACAAACTTGGCTGCCTGCGCTCGTCGCCATGCCGGCAGGGACGGGTCGACGGATTGCTGGGTGTAGTTGGCCAGAGCGGTGATGACGCAGCCGCCCTCCTTGCAGTCGCGCTCAAAGTCGACGTTGCAGTCCTCGGGAGGGCTGTCGTGCGCATCGATGAAATGGAAGTTTTTTGTGAATCTACCCCACTGTGTGTATCTGATCGAGTCGGCCCAGGAGGCTACCTTGGCCATGTAATCGGCATCTTGGCTACCGAGGAGCTGTTTAAGGTAGGCTTCTGTCGTATTGGCGACGAAGTTGCTTGCAACGAAGGCTGTCGTTACGTGTCCCAGGCCTAGGTACGAAGAGTGCAGATGTTAGAAAAGCTAGTGAAGATGATGGATGGTGCATCACGAGGGGATCAATACACACCTCCCCAAGCCATGGCCCCTGGCAGGGAGACGAGGCTGTAGGCCACAGCATTTGAGAGCTTCATGGTGCGGCAAAAGCGAAGTAGACGATAACAAGAAGATGAATCTAGTGATGAAAACAAAGTCTATTCAATCTTTCTAGACGGAACTGAATGATGAGCAAAACAAAAGATGACAGGAAGACTGTTGTAGGACAAAGGTTGGGATGAGGGAGAGGTTGGACGGGAGGTACCAAAGGGAGTGACGCCTGAAGCTACCCCGGAAGATTGACGCTCTAGCGCTCCGCAGTTGCGCACGGCACTTCCAGGAGACGCCCGAGCCCCGGTCGGCCGCCAATCAGAGGCACCTCAGCTACTGCGTGCGGGAATGCTGCCTACCCGTGCACAGTATCTGGCCTGCTTAGCACATGTACACAGGCGGCCGTCTAGAAGGATCACACGCGCTTTGGCTGCGCATCAGGTGCGGGTTCAGCAGCCATGTGCCGGCCCAAACGGGACGTGGGAGCTGCTGCGAAGGCTGGGGCTGGGGCGAATCGTAGCGGGCCAGTGTTGTCACTGCAACTCCGGCCTCGGCAGCGGTGACAACATGGGCGGGACCGCAAAAAAGATGGATATCTTGCTGGTATAAGTCTTACAGACCACGACCCGGATGATTATAGAGGGGAAACGATGATAGGAGAGACAAAAGTGTATGGATATCACGAAGATGCATAAATTGCCCCATTCACCTGCCGTGTTCTGGGATCTTGTCTTAGATGTTTACTGCAAAGGCTTGCCGTCTTACCGTTCCGCTTATTTGGTTACCGCTTGCTCGGCACCGCCGCAATTGAGTTTGGAATTTCATGTACCAACATGTAGCTGCAGCCGTACAGCTTCTCGTCAAAATGTACATTATGTGCACGCCCGATAAGAAATTCTCTGTCCTCTTTCATGCAGTGAAACAGTAACACGAGGCTCTTGAAGACGCATATCTATCAATATTAATGCATGCCGCCTCTGCTCTATCTTGTACCACCTACCCACAACACACTGCGAATCGCTTCACCCAAAAGTGTTTGCAGAATGACGCACCCAGAGATAGCGCGTGCACGCTCCCCGCCGCTAACGCTTGCAAATGGAGCCCATCCGACCCTGATCTCTGCAATATGCGTGTCTTGTGCAAGATTTGCTTTCACCTAGTCCCGGCCGCAGCCAGCCAATGGGCACCCGCGGCTCTATCGCTGACCACTGCGATAAGCAGCCCGCGATAAGGACCATGGCCGCAACGGATCCCTTCAGCTCCTATGACTAGGACCGATGATCTCGTGAGGCACCCCGACCGGCCGATGCCTTGGAATTCCCACATAATCTCGCCCTCTGCGCCTCCAAGACATTCCTCTTCTTCGCTCACTAACCGCTGTATCACTCGATTCTGCGAAGAAAGCGAAACAAACCGTTCATTCTTTGTCATTTGGGTCTACACGCCGAGGTGCCGAGATAAGATCGAGACAATCTGCGACCATGGCGTCTCTGGCGATGACCGTGGTGGAAGAAACAGCGAAGAAGCTGAGTCTTCACCAAGCTATATCGGGGATCTTTGGAAGCATCAGCATGGCAGCATGGATATGCGTTATTGTACGTATCGCATCTACTGATTTTTTTCCCCCATAGTATGGTAACTAACAGTCATCTCTGTAGCTGCCCCAGATGATTGTCAATTACCGAGCAAAGAGCGCCGACGGGCTGAGCATAACGTTCCTGGCCGTATGGATGCTGGGCGATGCTACAAACTTGATAGGTCCGTACGGAATAGCTCTTGCGAGCTCCCAATTTCTGCAAAGAGCAAAAGAAATTTCCTTTGCTGCGAGACACCCCCGCGGAGAAAGGCCATGTGCGAGGCTAAGCTAACCCGCGAATACTTAGGCGGACTCTTGACCAACCTGGCGCCAACAGCAGTGGCATTGGCCATGTACTTTTGCGTCGCTGACTTCCTCCTCATCTCGCAGTGCTTATACTACAACGCGGTCAATGCCCGCCGAGCTGCCCAGGCGGCCGAAGAGAACGAAGAAGCGCCTCTCCTTGGCGAGCGACACCATCGCCGCTCGGTATCGAGCGAGGATGGCACCAAGATTGGGCCTGCCGGTGACGAGCTGCTGGAGCGCTCTTCGTGGATGTCCAACACGGCCAGCCTGATTGGCGTGTACGTCGCTGGCTTTATCGGGTGGTATCTCTCTTACAAGGCTGGCGCATACAGGGAGGCGGATCCGGTTGTTTTCAACGCCGCTATGCAGGCATCTCCGGACCTGCTCGAGAAGATTGGAATTATTTTGGGATACTTTAGCGCAGTCTGCTACCTCTGGTATGTTTTTACACAGTCTAATACGCAGCTGACAATACGCACAAGACTAATTCTCCCGTTCTAGTGCTCGAGTTCCTCAAATCATCAAAAACTACCGAGAAAAGTCATGCGAAGGTAAGGAAATTCATCCTTAGTTGGCCCTAATGCTGTTGTACTGATCGAATTTTTTGAAGGCCTTTCTATCCTATTCTTCATGCTCTCCCTTACTGGAAACCTGACATACGCAGTCAGCATCGTGGCTTACTCTCAAGAGAAGAAGTACATCATCAACACGATTCCTTGGCTCATTGGATCGCTGGGTACTGTGGTCGAAGACGGCACTATTTTTGTGCAGTTTAGGCTATACGCCAACAATAGGCGAAGCACACAAGCATAGATTCAGAATTCCAGGCAACTGGGAGTTGGACTTTGAAATTGAACTTGAGCGAACACGAGACGGTTCGTTCGCTCGGGTTTTGGCATAATTTGGCATCTACTTTGGATTGTATGGGCTGAGGCGTCATGGTGCACTCACTTGGGCGTTCTGGGACGTTAAATGGACAGATTCTGCATGAATCTTGTCTATATTTGTTTGGAATTTGGGAACATTCGCATTCGGTGCGAAGAGAGACTTCCTTGCCGCGTAGATAGTCTCTTCTGGATAGACTTTTCTCCAGAGAGCAATTGTATTGTATTGTTTTACACTCTATACCAGCGTGAATACAGTTGTTTTATATAGGGAGACGTTAATCGGCACACCCCGATCTCAATATCTAACACCCCAGCTGTAGCGCAACAAGCAGCCAGTCCATATATTAAAACACATGTATAAAACTGCTAGATACTATGTATTAAAGGATAGCAGTAGTAGCAGTAGTAGCAGTAGTAAGAGGCTAGCATTTGTTCACAAAGGAATATTGATCTCTTCAGAATGGATAACTTTTTGATATATGTACTTGGACAGATCCAAAAAAAAGGAGAAAGAAGTCTTGAAAAGTTAGAATTAGATATAGCCCTTGAGGATGGCGGCCTCAGCATTCAGTATAGATGAGCCAGCCGCTCCAATAACCGCTAAAGAAGGAAGTCAGTCACATCCGCCCTATAAAAAGCTGAATGATATGGAGAGAAAACAAAAAACGTACTGTTATGGCTCAGTGCAACAAACTTCAAGTCAAAGATGCCGCTCTCATCAGCACGCACTCTGCCCACGCTGACCGTATATCCTCTACCCAAATCACGATCCAGTCTCGGCTGCGGTCGGTCGTCCTCGTCAAAGACTTTGATAGGCGGGTTCGGCGCAGAGGGACATCCCAGTTTCTGAGCCTCCGAAACATACGCCCGCAGAGCCTCCTTGCACTCCTCCGGCGAAGGAGGTGGCTGGCGCTCAAACTTGAGGCTCACGCAAGCAGTGTGACCGTCCATAACAGCAACACGGTTGCACGACGCCGACACGCGCAGGCCGCTCTGCTCGACAAACGCCGTGCGCCCCTCGTCAATGGCGCCGAGGATCTTCCTGGCCTCGGTCTCGAGCTTGTCCTCCTCGCCCTGGATGAAGGGCACGACGTTGTCCATGATGTCCATGCTGGACACGCCCGGGTAGCCCGCGCCGGAGACGGCCTGCATGGTGACGATGCTGACGGTGGAGATGGGGCCAAAGGCGGCCTGCAGGGCGGCGAAGGGGATGACGAGCCCGATGACGGCGCAGTTGGAGTTGCAGACGAGGAAGCCCTTGGACAGGTTGTGGACGGAGCGCTGGTGGGGGATGAGGTCGAGGTGAGGCAGGTTGACGGTGGGCACGACGAGCGGGACGAGGGGGTCGCGGCGGTAGTTTTTGGCGTTGGAGAAGACGGGGATTTCGGCCTTGAGAAAGGCCATTTCTGTTTCCATTAGCTGATTGACTCGTTAAGAAGATACTGTGGTTGAGCTCACCAACATCGCCCGCGACATCGGAATCGAGCCCGCTAAACACCACGTCGCAGTCCTTGAATTCCTCTGGGCGACACTCCCTCACTACCATGTCGGCGACATCGCCAATGGGAGAGGCCTGCTTCCATCGCACGGCGTCCTTGTACTTCTTGCCGGCGGAGCGCGACGATGCGCCGATGGCGTACAGCTCGAGCGTCGGGTGGCCTTGGAGGAGGAGGATGAAGCGCTGGCCGACGGAGCCAGTGCAGCCGAGGACGCCTGTGAGAGTGAAAAAGTGTTTGTTAGCATTTGATAAGGCGAAATATGAATTCGAAGTGAATTTGATTCAACGTACCGCACTTCTTGCGAGGAGATTGCGCTGACATGGCGATGCTTGTTGCTTTGAATGCTTGGACGTGGTGTTGGACAAGGCCGGTTCGGAGCGTGGTCCGATGATGCGCTACAGCTGAAAGAGAGTGAAGGAGGCCGTTGGAAGGACTATATATGGCTGGATATAATTGAATGCTAAAAGAGTCCTAACTCAAATAAAAACAAAATATTAGAAAAGGTAAGAAATTGACTGTTCAAGGTTGATGGTGTTGACTCGGAAGCTAAAGCACCCCACCATGGCTTTTTATCAAGTGAGAGGTTATCCAGCACCCCAATTCTGTTAACCAGCCCTACACTTTTACTTGGACGTAGGCTGCTGCCAGTATTATTGCTATTGCTATTATTACTGCTACTAATATAACTACTATTACTACTACTGCTGCTGCTGCTACTGCCACTGCCACTACTACTGCTACTACTGCTATTATTAAATGTACAGTATTTGGCAGTTGTGTATAACATGTGGAATGATTGTCTTGTTGCGCTGCAGCTGGGGTGTTAGATAATGAAATTAGGGTGCTAAATAACATCTCCATTTATCAATTGCTGGTCCCCCGCCATCGGAGCGTCGCTGTAAGTCAAGAGTGGGCCAGCCTTTTCCACTCTACTCATTGCATCATTTAACACCTAGCTGTCTGTGATTGTATGTATCCAATTCCTTAATCTAGGGATTATATTCAAAAAATACAATTGTACGCCCGAATCGCTTAGCCAGTTATCTGAGGTCTTCAATCTTCCTGATCCTTTGTAGTAACTTGTATTGCTATTCGGGCGGTATAAATGACCTTTCGGACGGTATAATTTTGCTTTTCGGGCAACAGCATTTTGATGTTCGGCCGGTATATTTTTTTTAAACTTTGCGCAGCATCTAACCCAATTAAGCGTACCTGAGAAGGAACATGCAAGGTACTACTAGTACCAAGGAAGATGGCAGTCGCAACAACAACATCATCATCGCAAAATTAAAGATTTCAAGGGAATTTCAACTTTTTTTCCAATTTCTATATGAATATACATGTCTATTTAAATAGGTATGTCCCGACACAAACGTAGATCAAGCATTGGCATACTGCTTGTTAAACGCCCGTCCAATCACCATTCTTCTAATCTCCGAGGTGCCAGCTCCAATCTCATACAGCTTGGCACTGAAACACACAAAAGTCAGCTCAATTCATGCAAATTCAAAGTAGATGGAAGTATAAGAACTTACTCTCTCAGCAATCGAGAGGCGGGCATCTCCTCAACGTAGCCCATACCACCCAACAGCTGGATAGAGTCGAGCGCCACCTCCGTCGCCCTCTCAGCAGCATACAAAATCGCTCCGGCGCAGTCCTCGGTGCGAATGACGCCCTGCTCGTCAACCTGGCGGGCAGTGTTGTACGTGTACGCGCGCGAAGCCTGCAGCTTGGTGTACATGTCGGCCAGACGGCCCTGAACCAGCTGGTTGTGGGCAATTGGCTGGCCAAACTGCTTGCGCTGGTGGCTAAAGGGCAGAGCAACGTCCAGAGCAGCCTGCATGAGACCTAGAGGCCCGGCGCTGAGAACTAGACGCTCCAAATCAAGACCCTCCATCAGCACGCGGACACCGCCGTTGATCTTGCCGAGGATATTTTTGCTGGGCACAAAGACGTTCTCAAACATGAGCTCGCCGGTGTTGGAACCGCGCATGCCCATCTTGTCGAGCTTGCGCGCGCAGGAGAAGCCCTCGGCGGTGGTGTCGACCAGGAAGGCGGTGATGCCCTTGGATCCCTTCTCGGGCTCCGTCTTGGCGTAGACGACAATGACGTTTGCGTCGGGGCCGTTGGTGATCCACATCTTGGATCCGTTGAGCACGTAGCCGCCATCAACGGGCTTGGCCGTGGTTCTCATGCTGACGACGTCGGAGCCAGAACCAGACTCAGACATGGCCAGGGCGCCGACGCTGGTACCGGAGATGAGGCCCGGCAGGTACTTTGCCTTTTGCTCGGCATTGCCGTTCAGCGAGATCTGGTTGACGCACAGCTGCGAGTGCGCGGCGTAGCTCAGGCCAATGGATCCAGAGGCGCGCGAAATCTCCTCCAGCACGATACAGTGCGCCTGGTAGCCCATTCCAAGTCCGCCGTAGTCCTCATCAGCTGTGACGCCCAGGAAGCCAGCCTCGCCCAGCTTGGCCCACATCTCGGCGGGAAATGCATTTGTCTTGTCGGTGCGCGCGGCGAGCTCTTCGGGGATCTCGCGACGGGTAAAGTCGTGGACGCGTTCGCGCAGCTCGTCGAGCTCTTCGTGGGACGGCGGCTCGAAGCCCTTGGGGTGTTTCTGGGAGTGGAGGCGCTTCTGGCTGGAGATGGAGGATGACAGCAGTGACGAGGTCCGGAGGAGTGATGATGAGGGTGATGACCGCGCTGGGCGGGCGAGTCTGGAAAAGGCCCTGAGGCTGGACATTATGGCGGTGATAGTAGGTGATACGGATAAGAGAATGCCTGTATGGTGTTGTGACTGCTATGTAAGGTACGTCACTGTATAGATCGATCTAAGATCTGGATGCTTCCTATAATAAAACAGCGGGGGAGATGAACAATGAGGGGAAGAAGAGATGCAATGGAGAATGGAGAAAAGTAAAGACAAGAATCCGAAGATGTAGAATTGAAATTGGTGACAAGTCAGAAAATGACCAAAAGAAAAGAATCTTCATGGATATGAATTATTAACCCCCAGTCTAGCTGCTTTGTGCCGGTTCCCTCGCAACAAACGCTCTACGCCTGCACTTAAGCCGAGGCGTCTCTGCCCCTTGCCTGCAGCTGCAGCTTCTCCCCAAAACGGGCACCTCGGCCACTACAGGCTTTAGCAGTAAAGAGCCGCGCCCACCCCCAGCTTTTCGCTTCGGCTCAGCGCGGCTTGTGGCGGCCCGGGGGGGCTTCAGCTGCGCGAACAAGCCGAAAGGGCACGAACTGACGTACCTGGAGCTTCGAGGCAGCTCGGGCTGAGGAGACAATCATCGCCAAATTTTATCTTTTTGTGCGCGGTGTTAATTCTTTTTCATTTCTTCGAGCTCTAGCATCTCGTGTGTGCATCTCACATCACCAATTGACTCATTTTCTCCTCGTCAATCATGTCTCTCTCACGGCCTTCTCGCCAGGCACTACGCCTGTCCCGCCATCTCCAGATATCCTCAACACCATCACCACAAGCATCACGGCTGCCTCTCTCCCGCCGCTCAGCAGCAACCCTCACGCCTCCCCACCAAGCCGGCGCAATCTCCCGCCTCCCCACAAACATCGACCCGTCCTCCCCCGAGTTCAAGGACAATGAGGCCCAGATGGCCGACATCACCGCCCGCCTGCAGCGCCTCGCCTCCGCCATCCAGCAGGGCGGCTCGCAAAAGGCCCGCGACAAGCACCTCGCGCGCAACAAGATGCTGCCGCGCGACCGCGTCGCCGCCCTCATCGACCCGGGCACCACCTTCCTCGAGCTGTCGCCTATGGCCGGCCACGAGCTGTACCCGGAGGCCGAGGTGCCTGCGGGCGGCATCATCACCGGCGTGGGCGTCGTCGAGGGCGTCACCTGCGTGATTGTCGCCAACGACAGCACCGTCAAGGGCGGCACGTACTATCCCATCACCGTTAAGAAGCATCTGCGCGCCCAGGCTGTTGCGCAGGAGAACAAGCTGCCGTAGGTTTTATCTCATCTCACATGTTATACAAGGCTAACACGAAGTATCAACAGCTGCATCTACCTCGTCGACAGCGGCGGCGCCAACCTCCCCCACCAGGCCGACGTCTTCCCCGACCAGAACCACTTCGGCCGCATCTTCTACAACCAGGCCCGCATGTCCTCCCAGGGCATCCCCCAAATCGCCGTCGTCATGGGCCCCTGCACCGCCGGCGGCGCCTACGTCCCCGCCATGAGCGACGAGAGCATCATCGTCCAGGAGCAAGGCCACATCTTCCTCGCCGGTCCTCCCCTCGTGAAAGCCGCCACGGGCGAGGTCGTCTCCCACGAGGACCTCGGCGGCGGCAAGATGCACTCCTCCGTGTCGGGCGTCACCGACTACCTCGCCGTCGACGACGCCCACGCAATCACCCTCGCCCGCCGCAGCATCGCCAACCTCAACTGGCCCAAGCAGTCCGCCGCCACGGTCCCGCCCGCAGAGTCCTTTGCCGAGCCGCTCTACGACCCCAACGAGCTGCTCGGCATCGCCACCACCAACCTGCGCAAGCCCATGCCCGTCCGCGAAATCATCGCCCGCATCGTCGACGGCTCCGAGTTTGCAGAGTTCAAGCGCGACTTCGGCACCACCCTCGTCACGGGCTTCGCCTCCATCTACGGCCAGAAAGTCGGCATCGTCGCCAACGACGGCATCCTCTTCGCCTCGTCCTCCGTCAAGGGCGCCCACTTCATCGAGCTCTGCGCCCAGCGCGGCATCCCCCTCGTCTTCCTCCAAAACATCTCCGGCTTCATGGTCGGCTCCGCCTCGGAGCGCGACGGTATCGCCAAGCACGGCGCCAAGCTCGTCACCGCCGTCGCCTGCGCCGATGTGCCCAAGTTCACCGTCGTTGTTGGTGGCAGCTACGGCGCGGGCAACTACGGCATGTGCGGTCGTGCCTATTCGCCGCGCTTCCTGTGGATGTGGCCCAATGCCCGCGTGGGCGTCATGGGCGGCGAACAGTTGGCTGCTGTCATGGAGACGGTCGGCAAGGCAGTCGATCCGGAGCTCAAGGATCGCATTGAGCGCGAGAGCGAGGCTACCTACTCTTCTGCGCGTCTTTGGGTAAGTCTAGAAATACCCATACATGAAAATTAGCAAAGTAGTAAGAAACCACCAGCTAACCACAAACCACAACAGGACGACGGCATCATCCCTCCTCAGCACACTCGCCACTACCTTGGCCTCGGACTGAGAGCCGCCATGGGTGGCCGCAACGAAGTCAAGGCTGGAGACACCAAGTTTGGTGTCTTCAGAATGTAAAAAACACTAATACAAAAAACTAATGAAAGAATAAAGAGACATATATAACAGAGATAAAGAGAAAAGAAAAAAATTGGTTTAAATATGCAAACTTGCTGCAACGACTCGGTGTGTGTCATGGTATGGTATCCCTTTTTCAGAATTAGACGTCTATGTACATTTCACCACTAGCTACACACATAATCATTGATTGCTCGCTCGGTCGCTTTCCATCCGAGATGCTCGTAACAGCTCAACAACGAGCTGCTGTGATAATTGATATCAGTTAATCTACTCCGCCTCTGATGAAAACGCCTGCGCTAATCTCCGCTTCCACCCTTCTCGCATTTGTAAATGCACGTGGAAAAAAGTAAAATAAGTGGAAAAATGAGAAGAAGAAGAAGAAGAAAAGAAAAGAAAAAGTCTCAAAAAGAAAAAGAGAGTCCATGACATGCTTATACAAGATTTCCCAACCGTATCGCCCCTTTTTAACCTCTTATGTCTCGTCTCATTGCCGCAAATAGCCTCCATCCCTCTTCCAGTTTCAACTAGTATATTAAATATGGTATCCCAGGTTTGTACAAAAAGGGGGCGGCACACCACCCTTCATCTGTAGCCGTATAGCCTTTGACTTTTATATATGAATTAAAGGCTTGGCTGAACGTGCAATTATGCCAAGAGCTGTTTGAGTATCATCCCATCAGAAGCCGAAAAAGAGGCCACGTTTTGACGTCTTCTTACTTCCCACAGGTCCTTGGCCAATGTCGACCGTAGCGTCAACCAGGTCAACCGTTCTATTCCCTCCGATGGAGATGCTCGATGCCTGTTTGACTGTCACTTCGGAGCCGTATTTTGTAATTGCTTGAGAAGCCTGGGTGAAAAACTGTTGGAGCTGAGTCTGCGCTGTATTGGCAGCGTCGATACTGTCTTCTTGGAGCACGTACAGCACGGCTGTGCGAGCAAAATCGAGGACTTCTTGCGTGACGGTAAACATGGATGTCTGTTGGGGTGAAGAAGAGCTCGTGGACGAGGGGCTGCTCCTTCGAACTCGTGATGGCACTTTGTCCAAAACAGCCACAAAGTCTCGGGATATAAGGTCAGGAGTTGGCCCAGAGTCCTTGTTGGTTGCCTGTTGAGCATTATCAGAAGTACTCTGAACTCGTGCATTGGCCCCACCAGTTCTCGTGGACTGGCCATCAAACGTAACAAGAGCATTCTGTGCGATGCAAGAAAGGTTGCCCGTGTTAAACCTAGCCAGGATCTCTGTACCCAAGAGGGGGATGGTAAAGTTCTTGTCCGAATCGGCAATGATGCGTGGTATGGCCATGCCGAGTGTGACGTTGTTGATGTGAGCAGAGCCGTCCGTTGGAATCAAGTTTGTCGTCGTGCAGCCCGATGAGCCGTTTGTGCCACAGTTGGCTCCCGTGAATCCGTTGGTGCAGATGCACGAGCACGTACCATTAATAACGACACCGCTGCCGCCATTCAGGCACGGCAAAGACTTTGCGCAAGATTGAATGTTGACTGTCGTTGATTTATTGCTGTTATTGCCCAGGTTTTTGAATACAAAATATTCCAAGGGTATAACGATAGCAGTCGCAATGATACACAGCATCAAGAAGATGATTAGGATGAAGGCCCATACGGGCAAGCCGCAGCACCTGCGAGCCTTGGACTTGGCATTGGAACCGGCCGGCACCTCTTGGTCATCAGGGGTCATCATGTACTTCTCACGACCGGTGTAGGGTCCTCTGGGCACCGAAGGCCAGGCATCCGTGGGTCGGTGAGTGTGTACAGGAGTTTGCACAGGAGGTGGGAAGGCAGCCAGCATATCCGAAAGGCCCGACTGATAGCGATCGTCTACTTGCATTCATCACGGTTAGCGGCAAATCCATTCTGAATTCTTTTACGAACAGGGCTTATTGGCATACCGAAAGAACGCTTCACTCCACTACCACTGCTCGCCTTTTCGTTAAAGAAGTCGAGTTCGTCAAGGCGGCTTGATGGCCGTTTGCCCTTGTCAATCATCGAAGCGAGACGGGTAGCTCGTCGGATCAAATCTGGTAAGCTGGTAAGACTTCCTCTTGATTCAGCCTCTCGCACGGCGTCGATATCCAGTCTCGGTGGGCGTCTAATGGCAGAAAGGCGGCTGGTCGGCGGGGGTGATCCCGCGGCTCTGCGTAAATCTGCCGGGCTCATCATGCCGGGCTGGCTTATAGGGACTGCTGCGATATGGCTTGCCCTGCGGTCAGTGGCTGCTGGAATCTGCTTGTTCGGCAAGTTGTTGGAAGAAGAGTCGGTGGACTCGTCGACAAGGCCGGTTCCATCATGAAAGGGGTTGGCAGAAGCCGGCTTCTTTCCATGAGAGTGTGGGCTAGTGAGTGTCTGAAGCGCATATTCGTCTTGGCCAGATACCAGCCCACTCTCGTCACTATAATCGTCTGACCCGGCGGAATTTCTGCTTCTCTCCGTCAAGGATTCTTCGTAGAATCCTCCTCCATGAAAGCCCGGGCTAGCACCCACAGATGCAGCTTTCCATGAATCGGGCATAGCAGCGCTCGAAGCGTAAGAGTTGTGAGACGTATAGGCTGAGTGTTCTTCGGGAATCGGAGATACAAAAGATGTGGCAGAGTAAAAGGACGACTGTCCTCTCCTGCTAGAGGGTGGTGGCCCCAGGTTTGCGCTTCTCCTCGGGCGATCTGAAGTCTCTGAAGTAGGGCTATCGAGTTCTGATGGGCTGGCGGGTTCTGGGACACGGAATACGGGAGTTGGTTGCTGTGGGCGGGACTGGTCTACCATGGACGGGACTTGGCTTGGGCGTGGCGGCCTTTGGGGGGCTACTCGAGGTCGGTCGGGTGGTGGACGGTATGCACCTGCATCTGGGGGGTCCGCTGCATCAGGGCTCTGCAGCGGCCACTGAGGCGCTGGCGACGGTCGTGAGATTGTTGCTGCTGCCATGTTACCATGCTGGCCGTTGGCTGGTCTTGATCTGGTCGAGTTGGGCGGTGATACCTCATGCTGAGGTGGTGTATCGTAACTCGGATTCGGATTGTGTCTCAGCCGCTGCTCACGCATATTTGACTCGCTGCTGAAGGGGAAGCCAACCTGGGCTCTGTCCCGTGGCCTTTGGGAGGACGGTGGAGATTGTGCCGGCCAATCCCTGCCTCCATTATATTCCTGGCTCATTTGAAATGTCGTCGAGTCTAGCTACAAACCATCCGGGATAACCGTGCTTGGGGAGCTGTCGACATCCAACGAGGGACAGTCTTGCCTGAGACGTATCAACGGGTTTCTGCGAGTAGCCGAACTAGCTGAAACAAACTTGGTTGCACTGATCGAAGTGAAACCTGTGGCCAACTGGTTGGGTTGAAGTTGAAACTTTTGAAACGAACGAAGAGATGAAAAGCATTGAAAAAAAGGCCAGAAGTCGTGCTATCAGCTCTACAGGCTTTATCTGGTAGATCCGTATTCAGAGAGATTTGTGAACGAGTGAAGTCTATTAACAAGCAAGGTTAGATATGAACAAATCTATGTACTGATACAAGTCTCAAAAGGCAGGAAAGACGAAGCAGGCGTAATTGCGATGAGCTGTGTGTTAGGAGCAGTCTGAGCGTCGACAGAAGATGCGAAAGAAAGATGTCGAGCAGTTTCAAAGACTTTGCATGAAACGCATAAATCGAAAGACAGGCTTCCAAATAGAAAAGATCGGATGATGTGTAGAGGCCTAGAGTAAGGTGGGAGGCAGGTAGAAAGACGTGAACGATCAGTAAGACCTACCTTTGAGGAACAAAACGACGTATTCACCTGGAACAGAAGCTGGCACAACGGCAAAGAAGGAAAAATAAGAAACGAAATACGAAAACGGAAAAAAAAGAAAATTGATAAAAAATTGAATTAAGGAAAGCGGGGAAATGAATAGTTCAGCAGCAGCAGCGACTAGCAGCTGGTGATGGGGAGGGGGAAAGAAGAGAAAGAAAGAGTGAAGGTTAACGCAAGCGAGGAAAAAGACAAGAACTGGGGGGGTGAGAGATGAGATGATGGAGGAGAGGATTTTTGGCGAGCGAGGCGGCCGAAAGACGACCAGGATTCCACGGGATTTGCCTGCTGCGGGCCTTGCCTGTGGCTTGTCGTTTCTGTCGGACGATGCGGCCCAGCCTGGTGGTTCCGACCAGCGAAGAATCAACAGTCAAAGAGAGGCAGAGGCAGAAGAGGAGGCGGACGAGAAGAGGAGAAGGACGAGGGCTGCGGTTGAGGAGCCGGGAGCCATGCCGTGCATGTACAGGTACAGGTGCAGGTGCAGGGGTTGTTAGTGGGCTCCATGCCCGGTTCCAGGTCCTGTTCCTGGCTGTGGGGAGGTCGCTTCGCCGTGCCATGGGCTGCCCTGAGCTGTGGCTGCTGTAACGAGCTACAGTATCTGGCGTGGGTACCGGTACCCGCGAGTGGTACCTATATAACGGCAGCAGGGATATCCAGGAAAAAAGGGAAACCACCCAACCAGCAAATTGAAGCTTGAACAGGCCATCATGCGCAATCAAGCCGAATCGAGTGTCTGGCCAATCAGTTTCCGCAGAGCGGAACATGTCTTGATGGCACTTGGTTGAAGTGCACGTCAGTGGTGTCTCAGTATATCAGATCAATGAATAGTTGTGAAAATCAAGAACAGCAACTATTATTCAAATATACTACAATGCATCAAATACCAGCAATAAAGTCTTACACGATGAAGAGAAATTGATGGCATCAATGCTCCAAGCCACAGCCCAGCCAGGTACAGGTCCAGGTCCAGGTCCAGGTCCAGGTACAGGTACCACCGCTAGAAGCACATCATTTAGCAGTCCCCTGTGCTAGTCTCCGTGTTGGACCCCCCTGGAGCCCACTCTCAAGACAAAACACTAGCGCCAATTTGTTCCTGCAGGTGGCCCGTTCGCAGCAGCACATTTGCCCAGCCGCGTTGAGGCCTTTTCATTCGCCCGAAATCACAGCATGTTGGACGCTGCAGCGTATCATGAACCTGCACCATTCATATTTGTTGAGCGGCCATCGCTCTTCGTACTCTGCTATCCTTCAATGTGTTACCCTCTTCTTTCTTGAAATGGCTAGCCGGCACCAGACACGCATGCAGCCGCCCTCACGTGTATCAGCTCTATTAATTGCTAGTAGCGCGTGTAGTGCTACTGTCCGGCTCAGCTGTGCAAGCCACAACTCAAAGTAGCTTCAATGCCCAGCTCCCTACTTTCAAGCTATCCGATGGCGCTATTTGGCCTCATCCGCGATTCTGAGCACTTTGAGCGCAGCCAGCAGCAGCATCGTCGGCCCTTTGTCGAGCACGTTCCACCGGGCTCTGTCTTGAATGTCTTGGATTTCACTTCACGGATCTCATCCCGATCCACATGGTTTCCTTTAGCTAGTAAAGCCAGTGCCACAGCTATTATTAGGTCGATACTACTGTTTTATTCCTCATGGTTCTCACTCTTCTCTTTTCCTCTTTTGCTTCCTTTTTTTTTTTTTAGGACAGAGTCCTCCCCATTCGATCTTGGCAGCAGATTCTGTAACAGCCTGATCCCGTTGTCGTATCTTGATACCAGCACTAGTAAAAATAGTCACTCACCTTCAAGGCTGTCATATAAGTGTACAATACGGGCTGAATATTTGTAAACAACTCCCAAAAAGCCCTCAGCTGTTTCCTAATACACAATATCCTCACGCCAGGGACCGCCACCAGGCCTCAGCCCAATCTCCATTATGGCCCGTGAGAAGCTGTTGATTCACATACAATGTATGAATGTCTCAGACACAGCAGTAGTGGGGATTTGAAGTCCGCGGCTAGTGTCCGGTTCATACTCGAAACAGGTATTGCTTGCGACCCCGACGAAGATTAAACAGCAACGCGCGCATACAAGAAGTAATCAGTAATCTTCAAACAGGAAAACCTCAAAATCGATTCATTCTTGAACATTATGGCATGATACTCACATAAACGCCTTCCGCAACAGCAGCGGCAATATGTCCCAAACAGCATCGACTCCCCGGCAAATAGAGAAAAAGCAAACTTCTCCCCAATCCCTGCCTCTCTCATCACACCAGCGCTCGCCGCCAAGAAATATCCACTCATTTGCTACTCCCTACAGAAAAACAAGGACTGCGCCGCTTCACACCCTTGATCCTTGCTCATCTCAGCCAAAGGCGGGAAGAAGAAAAAAAGCTCATCGGGGTTGCGTATGCGTATCCACGCACTTAGAGGCCCCGGTTCGTCGCAAACCAGTCACTGTAGCCGCCTCACACGAAACAGTTTTGGTTCTGCCTATATGTAGGTATACGGGGTGATTGTTTGATAGCCCGTGGTTCGTATATGCTTACTTTCGAAAAGAGCGTGTTGTTTGTTCTTTTCGTCTTGGCAACATTGTTCAATGCCCTTCCAGGTTACCGCATCTATTTATATACATGCACCTTGATCGGTGCATGTAGCCAGGCTAAAGTTTAGGATGGCGCCCTTACTTAAACCGAGCACGGCGATTGATCACCATCTCGATCTCTAAAGTCTCCATGCAAGGAATTTTCTTTTTTTTTTCTCGCGTCGTTGGATATTCGGTAGTCCATAGCTGCATATTCGATGCCCGAAAGCTCGGTCCTCTCCGGGCTCATGGCTCTATTGGCAAACACCAACACCGCCCCGCAGTTCACAAAAGGTCACATCTATTAACCAGCTTCGGTTCTTCCAATCTCCAGCACCTAAACTGGATACAAATTACTAATTCCACAGTCGATTCTTCCATTCTTGCCTCCTATAGTCCTCCATCGTTGTCATTATTATTATCGTGCATCACGGCTGGAAAAACACCTGCTCCATCGGCCTCCACCAAGACGGCGTTCCGGCCTCCGAGCTCACAGCTCCCTCCACCAAGCTCTCCTGCATGCTGTCCGTCATCTTCCACCACTCGCGCACCTTTGGATTTCCCGCCATCTTCTCCATATCCCCAGCGTAGTCGTAACCGATGTACCTAAACGAAGCAAAGAGCAGTCCCAGGCCGTCGTCATAGAAGATGTTGTCTATCACCCCATTGCATAAGCTTCATGTTGCTCAATAAGAGAGTAAGAGGGGCCGGACAGTAAGCTTACAGTCTTCTATCCCGCAGTCCTTGATCTGCTTGAGAACCTCGGGCCAAACCTTGGCGTGGCAGGCCTTGTACTCGTCCACGCGGTCCTTCTTGAGCTTGACGACCTGGCCGAACCAGCGACCTGGGTTTTTCTGCTTCATTGATAGTGTCCGGGCATGGCCGTGAGGAGCAGGTTGCGCGGGCTCTTCGCCTGGTGAAGTTGGCTGCCACATGTTGTCTTGTTGCCAATTTCAATATGAGGGAAAAGCCTAAAGAACTGTAAATCAAAGAGAAGAACAGGCTGCTCTGATGAAAAAGAGAGAAGAAGAAAAAGATTACACGATACGAAGAGAGATGACGGTCAGCAGACCAGCTGATGTCGCCGCGGAACCGGATATGCACAGCTACGATGAGGGGCAAAAGACAGAAAGCTGTGGGGAAGCACAACGTGTCTCGCAACCCCGCAGATTGCAGAATGAGTGTGCTTTCCCAGGAATGAAAATACGTTTTTATGTACAAGGTATGTGCAAAAGTTCAATTGGTAATTGCTGCGCTTACAGAGCATCTCAAGGTACACGTAGCCATGCGGACTCCGCACGCTATTGGCTCTTCCCCTTTGCAGATCCGAGGCTTCCCCGCATATCAAGTATGGACGTTCATATACGAACATGGAGACCACATTTGCATGGAGACACAAAAAAGCGATTGCTCCAATCCAGAAACTCCACGTCATGATCCTCAGCTTTTGAAACACTCGTTGTAGTCACAAGGTGCATACGTAGATATACTACCGTTGCATCCGGGTTACTTGGAACGTCGGCCGTAGGCCATGAAGCATCTCGGATGTTCTAGACATAGTTGAGCCAGCTCTCTTTTAGTTGCTTCTCTTGGAGAGCAATCAACAAGAATACCCCCACGGGACCCTCTCTCTGAGTCTTGTATTCACTCAATTAGGCGACGGGAGGATTGGACCATTCTAGTCTTGCATATTTCTCCAACTATTTCTCCAGGTTACGACGGAGTTCAAGTTAGCAGAGAACACGTCAAGCCAACGCATCCACAGCTACCCGGTACAGTATTCATCAACAATATATTGCAAACCACAGCCCAGGCCTCGACTTGTTTCTTTTTTTTTCCTTTTTTTTTTAAAAAAAAAAAAAAAAAGAGTACTTTGTCTGGTCGATAAAATATAGGAACTACACATGGCATTTACATCGACAACTGCAGAATACAAAAAACGGAGCACAGCATCCGCCACAGTGGGCAGAAGTGGGCTCGTACTCAAAGACGCTCCAGTCCGCATCTCCCCACACGGGATCAGCCCCCGGATTAGGGCCCCACGCGGCTTGCAGTCCCGGAGGATCAGGTGGATTGAGGATGAATCTGAGGTTGATTTGGACATGTAGCGAATATACTGTAGAGACGATGGTGTAGCTTACATTCATGCATGTAGTCAATTACACATGTACATATAAGACAAATACTACCTAAATTGTGCTGGATCACTACATCTGGAAATATGATGCAAGCGAGACTGATTTGTATGTATGTAAAAGAAATGTAGCATTCAGCTAATGACAGATAATATGCTAACTGACACGTGCATATTTGATATTTGACGCCCTTCGACTCCCCCAACTTGTTGATAATATTGGTACAATGAGGCCATTTGTTTTCTCTTATTTGGCCATGGATTCATTCTGCACATCTCCCCCTAAAAACGGATATGCTTCCATAGTTTAGCTCGTCTTCAATGGTAGTGCTGGTGGTTTATTCACCCACTCATTTGTCGTTTAGCTCCTTCATAGCAGGTATATAGTAACGCAAGGAAAGTGACATAAGAAAAGAATTTCAAGCAAGATTTAGCCTGTTTATTTGTCGGCTAGTTCTGCCTGGTAAGCGGGAGCCGGGGTAGAGTCCTGAGCTTCCTCAGCCTCCAACAAGCCTCTCTTCTCCTCCTCAGCGGAGGGGAATTGGGTAGAGTTGCGTCGGTGGTGAGGACACCATGAGCGGCGTTGAGATCCACCACGGACGAACATGCTGATACGGTAGACGACGCTGCACAAGAACATGGCAAGGCTATTAAAAAGGTTAGTAAAAACTAAAGAAATGGATATCATCCGATAGAGGGTAACATACAATGCAACACCGACACCAGCAGTAATGCCCATGAGGACGGGCAGCACAATGTGCGAAGCGACGTTCCTAACAAGGCGGCGCCAGTCGCGCTGGGTGTTCCAGTCCTCAGGCTCGTGGTGGTGGTGAGGCCGGCCGTGATGATGAGGCTTGTGGTGGGGAGGAGGAGGAGGAGGAGGAGCATGGTGAGGGTGAGGGGGAGGAGGATGGTTGGCCTCCTCGGGGCCATGAGGACCCTTTCGGTGGCAGCCACTGAAGCCCTTGAGAGCTTGCTTGGCACGGCACCACATGGTGGTGCAGGGCATCTCAGGTGCGGCCATGAGCTGCATATCAGAAATGACAATGTCACCGGTGACGGCCTTGATCAGGCCAACCTTGACCACGGGAATGTCGTCGACAAATCGGTGGCCGACCTCGATGACCCTCAGCTTGACGTCCACCAGCTCCAGCTGCTGCTCCTCGTCCTTGGCCCTGGGCAGAACCGACAAGCTGTATCCCAGAGTGCGCTCCGTGGCGCTTCCGCTTGCTCGCACGACATCGGCAGTCAGATCACCACGCCACGGGTCGGCATGGGGATACAGCTCAAAGCCATTTACCATCAATCTCGAGCCATCCTCGACGACAAAATCCAGTTTTAGGTGGGTGTCCCTGCCACGGCACTGTCTACAGGGAACGTCGAGGCTCTGTCCGAATGCTTCGGCGGGCAGTTGGAAGGTCTCGGGCTCGACGGGGAGCGCCTTGAAGATGTTCTCGTCCGGTTCGGATATCTCGGGAACGATCGCAAAGGCCGTGGCCGCCGCCGCCAGGGCAAGCTGCTTGAAAAGCATGGTGGTGGAAGTCGGGGTTGTCGCGATGCAAACGAAGATGGCGATGGAACAATCAACAGTATGCGGCTCTATTAAGACTGAAAGGGTTGTCGCAGTGGGTTTTGAGGTTGAGGATGCAGAAAGCAAAAGAGGCCTGGAGCTAGGAAGGCAGCGGATGGCGATTTGGGTGGCGACGGGCTGTAAAAAGGTGTGACGACGCCCTGTCATTGGCCGTCCGGGATTAGCAGCCTCCGACTGTCCGAACACCCCAGCTTACGAAATCGCCCAGGGATGCGCCGGTGCGTGATTGGCGAAGCAGCGCAGCGCCTACGTCAGCACTTCCAGGGCCAAGAGGGTACTGATGCCGCTGCGCGAGCCGCATATCCGAATGGCTCAGCACCCTGGCAAAATGAATGGAACCTTGGCCATCGACTCTCTGCTGCTCTGTTTGGTACGAGTACGAAGTGTTTGAGGAGGGCATAGCCTCAGCTACAGATTAGTAATTGCTATGGATGAGATATTGGCACTGCAGTGTCACGTTCCCGGGCTGCCTGACAGCAACATTAACAGCTCTGTTTGTACCAACGTAGTACAAGTATCTGTACTATAGAGTCTCAATGTACTAGTAGCATCAATCTGTTACATGGAAGGCATCAAGACTCCAACGAGCTGCCGCTTAGGTGAGTCGAGCCCTGAACAGGCATCGTGTTCCAGAGACACCACTTCGGAAAAAGGTGGCTCTCAGCCCCATCCATGCATTAGCATGAATCCCACTTCGCCGCAAATAGCAAATACCATTGCCAAGTTTGCCATTGCTAGTCTGCTCCACAAAATACGAACCAAAACATCGTATACTGTGCAATGCGTCCTATTCTTATGCCTTTTTCATATGTACATTACCGCCATCCTTCAAGTAGAACCCTTTTCTGTGCATACACGAGGTGGCATTTTCGCAAAATGGCTCTGCTGCAGGTTGACAGGTCACCGAAATGCCTCTGCCAAAGACAGAAGCGCGCAACCCCTGGAACATATACAAGATTGGCCTTGTGTTCAATAAGGTACATACGCGTGATGCTTGTGGAACAACGACACAAGGAGAAGCACAAATCTAACACAACAGAAGCAGCCGTTTCAGATAGTCTATAACAGCCAACACAAGTAAAGGCCCAATCTCTCATGCTCATAATTTAATGATAATTTCATTTCCTAGCATAAGCACGGTTGTTGAACACGTAAGAACTCATATTTGAACGGCCATGGCATTGAAACCATCAGTAATTATTACCGACACAATATATCAGAACCTACAACAAACATCCACGAGTCGCCATCTACCATGGCTTTCTCCTAAGATTGCAATACCATGCCATTCCATGCCCCTTTTCCATAAATAATCCCCTATACCTTGTAATGACCTAACCATGAAAACTTTCCCATTAAAGAAAAAAGAAGAAGAAAAAAAGCACACATGATGATTAGCGTTCCAACACTCCCATATATCAAATCAAACCCAGTCGCCCCCCTATCTTAAAATCCAACAGGATTATGGAGTACTACAACCAAGGTACAGTCAGACTTCAAAAAAGTAAACACTCCAAAGTCTACTCTCCTTTTCCACCACTACTCTTCTTCTTCTCCACCTTGTTCGTCATCAACGTGCTTCTCGAAAAGCGCCTTGAGGCGATGCACAGCCGTCTTGCCCCAGTCGATGAGGACACTCCTACCGTCGAGGATGCCGTCACCCAGTCCTGTCACATTCTGGTGACGATGCAGCGGCGAGCCTGCTCCCCACGGGTAATTTGGGTTGCGTGGCATTGTCTCTTCTGATGGAACCACCACTGTGGGCACGGGGTAGGCAAAACCCTTGGAGCCGGATTCATGATTCTTTGATGTAGTTGAAGTCTCAAATGTCGTTGGGAGCGGATAAGGGTAAGTATCTAGTGCGAGAATAACTGTGTTAGTTTATCAAGAGATATCATGATTGGCAAGAGTACTTACGGGTTCGAGTATAAGCAACTGTTGCATTCCCATATGTACCATTTGCTGTGCTTGTCGTGTTGCAAGTGGATGTATACAATGGTGTTTGGCGAAGCGAGGACTCCGGCGCGCCTGTCGTCAATGGCATAGCCCAGCACCGAGTGAGCGTCGTGTTTCCGCTTGGGAAGCGGGTGCAGGTGGTTGTGCTGTCACTGATGTTGGGATACGGGTATACCCATGAATGAGTGCAGGGAGGAGTTGCAGTGGTGCTGTTGGGGTAGAGCGTCGTGACGATAGCGCTGCCCGTGTGACTGGACTCATGGCCCGTCGCGACGGTAGTGGTATTAGTCCATTGTGATCCAGTGGTGGTTGCTGAACCGGAGATTGTTTCAACAATGGTTGTAAAGACTTGAGTCGCGTTATCACTTGTGTGAGTCCCAGATGATGATAACGATGGCGAGATATCGGTACCGGAAAGAGCTGAGGAGCCTGTTGACCATGGCAGCGTTCTAGTAATAGTGCTGGCAACAACCGTTGCATTGAATTTTGAAGTAGACGCAGATGCAGACGCAGACGCAGAAGAGGTTAGAGTCAGCGTGGAAACAGTAACCGTAATCATCTGAGTAGTTGTCGTGGTAGATGCAGCCAGGCCAGTTGAAGACGGCGATACCCGAGTGCTGTTAGTCCAGATGGGGCCGCTGCCAGATGCCGATGACAGGGCGCCGGTCCCAGATGATGCTGCCGATGTCGTTGACCAAGGCAGAGCCGATCCGGTTGTCAAAATCACAGTTGTACCATTTTGAGTGATGGTAGTAACTGTGATATTGCTTGCTGGGGATGTGCCAACTGAGCTGGAGCCGATTGTAGTTCCGCCAGATCCTGTTGTTAACCAAGAAGTGAAAGCAGTGGTTTTCACGATTGTTCCGTTGGTAACAGTGGTGGAAATGACAACGGGACTGATGAAGCTGCTGCTGGAGCCCACCGCTGTCCCTGACACCAGGGTTGAAGTGGATGTAATCCGGGATGTGTTTGTCCAAGATGAGGGGATCACCGTCACCGTCGATTCAGATCCACTCCATCTTGCGGTAGAAGAATTGGTAAACGCAGTGACAGTCGAAGAGCTGAGCGGTCTCGAGCTTGCTATGCCAATCGAAGAGCCTGCATTGGTCTTGGTAATGGTGATGGGGACGATTGACGAACCACCGGTTGGAGCAGCGGTAGTTATCCAGACGGTAGACAGATTGAAGGAATTAGTGAAAGACCACGTCAAGCTTCCGCCACTTGCACTACCTGATTTGAATGTTGAAGACGGTTTGGAAGTTGAGTTTGTTGCAGGTAGAGGACTAAGAGTGACCGTAACAACACTAGCAGTCGTTGAGCTTGTGCCACTAGAGCTGATGACAGTTCCTGATAGAGTTTCAGTGGCATTGCGAGTCGTGGGGAACGGGGGTCCACTGGAACTTGGAGACTTTGTCGGCTGGCTTGTTCGGGAGAGCCACGTCGTGTTGGTAAGCGTAACTGACGGGCGAGATGTTCCATGGGTACCAGATTGAGTCAAGTTCCAGGTGGGAGGGAGAGAATGGCTAGGAATGATTGACAGAGAAACTGAGACTGTCGGTGCTGAGTTCCAGACGGTTGAAGTCACGACTCGCCCAGACGATAAAGTCGTATTGCTGAATGGAGGTCTGCTCGAGGTGGATGATCCAGATCCTGTGCCACTACTCCAGATCGTGGTGGTAACGACGTGTCCAGACGATGCTGAAGACAAAGATGTGTTGCTGAAGGGGGGCTGACTAGAAATGGTTAAACTAGACGTCGAACTAGATCCAGTCGGTGCGCTATTCCATATTGTAGTAGTTACAATCTGCCCAGACGACCCTGAAGACAGAATTGTATTACTGAATGGTGGTTGGCTAGAGATGATTGATTCAGACGTTGATCCAGAAGCTGTCGCACTGCTACTCCAGATTGTTGTAGTCGCAATTTGACCAGACGACAATGAATACGAGGTTGTATTGGTAGATGATGTTTGGCTAGAGATGGTTGGTCCAGAAGCTGATCCAGATGTTGTTGAGCCACTACTCCAAACTGTTGTTGTCACAACTTGTCCAGACGACAATGAATACGAAGTCGTATTGATAAAGGGTGGTTGGCTATTCGTCACCGACTTGGTTATCGTTCCGTTGGAACTCACCGCCAGGGACTCGGTTGTTGTCGAGACAGGAGAATTGCCAAAAGTCGTCACTGCACCCGTAGGCGTAACAGTAATCACCACCACGGTACCAGCAGGGCTAGAAGCCGCCGTCGAGTTAGCGGAGCCTGATCCAGAGATGGTCGAGGTGATGGTCCTGACGCCCGTCTGTTCTGAAGCAGTCGTATTCCAGGGAAGCTGGGATCCCGTAGTGGATACGAGGCTGGAGGGGGCAGAAGTCGTATTGACAGCCCCTGAGCTCCAAGGCTTGGCGGTTGAAACAGACGGCGCCGTCAATGTCAGTGTTTGGACAATAGTGGTGGAGTTGAGCGTCCATGCAGAGGTTGATACCGTAAAATGATGGCTTGTTTGTGCCGCGGTCTCAGTCACGGTAGACGTAGTGTTGGCCCATGATGCAGATCTGCCCCATGTCCCTGTGGAAGACGACTGAATCTCGCCAGAGGGCGTCAAGCTAGAATGACCAGTGCCAGTTGGACGAGCCGAGGATTGTGAGGTCACCGCAACAGTACCATTCATCTGTGTGGTCGAAATAACAGAAGAGACGACAGTGCCGTTGTTGAGCTGCGATGTTGATGCAGTACCAAGCACAGATGTAACGGTAACTGTTGCCTTAGATGATGTTGGCGAGGTTGATGTAGTAGACCAGATCATTGTCATGTTTGACTGAGCTACTGTGGTACCAGAGGTGCTCAGAGTAACCGTAGTCTGATTGCCCGTAATCGGCAATGGAGAAGAGATTGAGTGGGCGTTGGATGCCGATGGTGATACGGTACCTGACAGAGTCAGATTTGGCAGCAACGTAGCCTCGGTTGTGCTGATTGATGAGATTCTTGTCCCGCTACCGCTGGGTGGCCCCACGGTAACGGTCACCACAGATGAGTTTGTGAATCGATAGGTCGAAGTAGCAACTGATGGGCTACTTGACGATGACCATCCGCTGATAAGAGAGGACGAGATGTTTGACAAAGTTCCTGTCGAGATTGACGAGGTAGTACTAGCCGCTGATTCAGATACTGTGACCACGATGACAGTTCCATTCACGGTACTCGTGATACCCTGGCCCGATGCTGTGGTACCGGTAGATCTGGTAATCACAGAGGTTAGGGTAAGATTTGTACCATTTATTGCTGAAGAAGTAGACGAAACTGTTGTCTCTGGAGCAGTTGAAGCAGATGTGCTAGTCGACGAAGTTGAATTTCCAGACAAAGTGCTCGAAGAAGTCAATTGAGTTGAAGTCTCAGAGAATGGTCTCGTCAACGTCACTCCGATTGTGGTTAGTGTGACAGTGCGTATGGTTCCATTCTCAGTCAGCTGGCTAGACAAAAGCTGTCCTGTCGACGTGCTTGAGGGCGGCAGTGTAAAGTTGAACCATCCCGTGACAGTGGACACGATTGTAGAACCAGATGAAGAAGAGCCGGTTGCAGAACTAGATACAGGACGAATAGTGCCAGACTCAACTTCAGTTAAAGACCTAGTAGACTCTGTTGGAGCTGGAGATGCCGCAGTTGAACGTGTAGTTCCATTCTCCGTCTTGAAAGTAGACGAGACACTTCCAGTTGACGTAGAAAGTGACGTTGTAACGTTTGGAAATCCCGTTGAGGTAGACACAGATGCCGATCCGGAGGGTGAAGAGCCTATTGTCGAACTAGATATAGGTCGAATGGTGCCGGATTCGCCTTCAGTCAAGGATCTAGTCGACTCTGTAGAAGTTGCAGACGCCACAGTCGAACGAATAGTGCCATTCTCAGTCAACCAACTTGACGAGAGGCTTCCAGTTGACGTGGAAAGAGACAATGTAGCGTTTGGCCATCCTGTTGTGGTAGACACAGAGGCAGATCCAGAAGAAGAAGAAGAGCTTTCTGTAGAGCTAGAAGAAGATATAGGCCGGATAGTACCTGATTCTTCTTCGGTTAAAGATCTGGTAGAAGACTTGGTGGACACGCTGCTCTGAGTAGACGTCGCTTCAGATGAGAACGAGTAGCCCTCGTGACTGGATGATACTTGCACAGTTTGTGCTGTAACAAACGTGGTAGTAGCCAGTGATATAGTAAGCGTCTGCGTCGTTAAGCCCAGAGAAGACTCTGTGACTGATGATCTTTCAGTAGTTGTCGACGAGTGGCTCTTGTCGGAAGTAGACGATACAGTCACTGTTCCTGCCAAAGTGGAGGATTTGCTTTCAGAAGATGTCTTGGTACCAGTTGAGCCAGTGGTAGAAACAGTCTCTGTCTTGGTGGTCACATTGGAAGCAGTGCTTGTAGACGATCCAGCAGGAGGAGGAGGGTCTGGATATAGGTTAGCTCATGAACATACGTATGCAGAAAGAATCGCGGTATACTAACAGATTCCAGACTTGGTAGATGAGGTAGTGGAAGAAGTTTCCTCTCCATAGGGGGGCGGATAGTAGCCATAATCACTCGGTTCGCCATAGTTGGCAGCACGAGGGGCCAAGCCCCGGAAACGGCTTGCATCGCCAGGGTTGCGATAATCCTCGCCGGCAAGGCGATGAACCGCAAGCTGGGCCACAGTTGTAGTAATGCCAGTCAGAAGCATGACCACCACTGGCACAAGGCCAGCAGATAATATCGACGCTCTCATCGTGGGTGAGGCTTGGATGCTATTCTCCTTTAGAAACAATAGGTTGTGCCCATTCAAGAAGAGCTCACCTTTCTCCCGACAATGAATATTGACAGAGTGGAGATGCTTGATGCTATTATTGACAGAATAGACAATAAGGAAACGCAAATGCTGAATGAGGTGCGGTGGAGATGCAACGAGGCAAAGAGTTAACGAACGAAGTTGTGGGTTGGAGAAAGCTGCAATTCCTCCAAGTTGGGATGGGGGGCAGAAGAAGAAGAGAAGAAGCGAGAGAAGAAGGGAACGCGTCAACAGCGCGTTATAGATGGGAAACAACACGCGCGAGCAAAACTGTTCGCAGCTGGCAGCCCACAAGTGAGAGGAAAGTGAGCCGGCTCTGACAGGAAGAGAAGATGTAGCTCGGATTCCTAGGTACACCTGGCCGGGACTACCCAATAAATGGGAGACTCGAGCTGCCAGCTGTTGGCCTGTGGCAAGATATGCCGCTCTCCCCTTTCTCTTCACGCAAATCCCCATCAGCTACAATCATACATGGCTAGTTGCCAGCCGGTCACACATCCCAGCTGAGATGGACGCCGCTGAGCCTCTCTTCCCGGCTCGTTTCCTCCCGGATGCCATGCTCCTGAACTGAGCAATGCTGTGTTGTTACAAGGGACCATCCCGAGTCCTCTCCGACGCTTCGCGAGTCCATGTCTCGGTCATACTGCTGATAAAGATGGCCCGGCATCGTGGGCGTTCACAGTATCAGATTGATGACGACGGAAGTCCCAGCAGATCTCCCTGATCCGGATACCACCGCCAATTCACGCTTTCTCATTCGCCACGACTAGCTTCAGCAGTGTACAGCCAGATCCTGCAGCTGCTGCAGACGCAAGCCAGGGGTACACCGAGATCTGGGGCGAGCTGGTTTGACCCGTTATCGAGATCTCGCACCCTTCCATGCAAGGTTGCAAAACGCCACGATTCAACCGTTTTGTGCGACGGGTCGAGGTCAAGGCAGCCGTGCCGAAGACGAATGCGCCAGAGGCCGCTCTTTGACGAACAGGCGTTGATGATATATCCCAAGTTCTGAAACAAGGGATTGTCAGGGATCATCTTCACACATTGTCAAAATTCTTCGTTTGTATGAGGATCCAAATCTTAATACTGAGTGGACGGAGAACCTGTCTATGCTGCGTCTTTAACTTGATGTATGTCGGAGTGCCTCCATTTGCTTCCGTTATTCAATGGCCGAACAATACATATTGGAGCACTGGTTATACACGGAATTGAGCTGCACTGCTATCGCCTACAGTTGGACACAAAAGGGCTGCTCGTCGTATAGATGTAGGAGAAGACGGACCAGAGTTGCCGTGAGAGGGCCACGGAAACACAAGAGATCCATGCTGATAGCATTGTCCTCATGTTGAAAACGTGTCCGTGTCGTTGGGTACTAGATGCCCCCTCATTCAACTCTTGTTTTGGCCGAACAATGCACCGGGATGACTGGTGAGATATCTCCTGGACTCGGTCGTTAACCTCCCGCCATCTTCCTCGCACACGCCTTCTCGCATAATGACAGGACGTCTTGTGTTCTCATAACAATGAGGCTGTGTCACTTGAAGAGCCTAGCTGCAGGTATAGACGAGTGTAACATCCGAAAGCAAATCCACGGCGGGAGGGAAGACTGGAGCCCAACTTGATTGAATCGCTATTCATGTCCCCTGTCCAGCGATGCCTTCCGTGTTTCAACTTAAATTGGACCGCAGAGAGCTTAGCTGTGCATGGGGCCGGCGTGGTCGGTGCGGACACGATTTTGGGGAACATTCAAGAGCAAAGACAAAAGAGCCTCCGCCTAGTAAGACACATGTTAGCATGCATCAGGATAAGACAGTATGAGACGAGATCCCCTGAGTTGCCACCATAGAAGAGGTCTCGTCTTGGCTGAAAATATCCGTGGCACTGGTGCTAGTGCAAATTTGTCTCATAAGATACCGAAATGTGGTTGCTTCAATTACATGCTAATCAACTACGTTGCCAGGTTTGGCCCGTTATGGAGCACAGGTGTTCCCGGATTCATCCATAAATAGAAGAGCCAGCCGCATTTCAATCGTGGCTAGAAGTAAACAATACTAGCTGATTGCCCGGCAGCAAACATCGCAATAACCCCTGTCCCGTGTCCTTTATCGTTTACTGGCATCGTGTTGCCAAGGTTCCAATCGGCTGAGAGTTGAAACACAGCTCACTCGAAGCTTTCGGCTGCGGCCTGTCTTAGCTTTGGAGCAGTCTCTTTAACCATGGGGTTATTTTGCGATTCAATATCAGCAGCCCAAAGGGCGGCACCCACTAGATGAGTCAGTACTGAAGCAAATTTAGCTAGTCAAGTATCCATACCGGTATTTGTGTAGGAGAAGAAGACAGACACCACGGGTATCATCTCGAGAAGGGTAGCAACGACACCAAAACTGCGTGGTAATTAGAAAAAATTCTCATTTTGAAAGGGTAGAATGATTATAAACGTACGATGCGTAGGCACCGCTATGGGTATCGATCCACTGCTTCTTTTGCAAGTCGGACCAACTCTTGAGCTGGAAATACTTGAGGCTTGTTAGCATATCCCGCGACATTGTCATTTTAGAGATAAAACGTACTCGACTATGCACAATATTTCCCCTATGTTTTCCTGTTTCAAGCATTAACAAAGAGCTGCCAAAAGTTGGAGATGTTGGGTCACTAACCCTGGAGAAAAATAAAGGCTGCGGTGCCGACGAGAGGGACGAAGTTTAGAGGCAGATACATGACATATCGAACCATTTCCGTGAGGCTCCACTTCTCGAATCGCTTCTTAAAGGCCTTACCCAGCTTTTTCATAGGATCGCTACCGGCATGAACCTCTCGGCCCTGCTGGACGACGGCCGTTGCGTTTCTGGCAACCATTGTGCCATCAAACGTGTCCATGAGAGATTCTTGGAGCAGCCAGGTGCGAGATATCATGTGGATAATAATGGAACTTTCATTTAGCGTGAGGAGGATTGTCGTGTACACTGCCAATGGGCCATTGAAAAGCGCCATGACGGCGAGCTGAGGGAGGTAAGCAACCACAAACATGGCGCCAATCACCGAGGCTGTGAGCGTGCCATAGGGGATAACTCGATCAAGCAATGGCTGCCATAGGCTTCGGTGGGCGATGAAGTAGAAGATTCCCTACCGCGTTGATGGTCAGACCAGTGTCTATTAGAGATGAATGGCGGTAATATTGTGTCAATCTTTTTACCTTTATGGGATAGAGATATGCCCGGCTCTGGACGGCATCAGTAGCCATTGCCCTCGCCTTGCCATAGTCTTCAGTGCTAGTAGCCGTCAGCATCACAGCTTCTTACTTCAGCGATGGTCCTGCACACTTACAGAGCATGTTCGGCCCTCCTGCTGATCGAATCGACGACGCGGTTCCGCAGCTTGTTCTCGGATTCAGACATTGCGCCGGAACGCTAGCGCCAGGGTTTCCTGTTTTGGGAGATGCTTTGTCAAAAACTCAAAGAGGTGATTCCAAACGAAAACTGGAGATGCCGTGAGAAATGCAAGCAATGGAGTTCAGATGCTGTATCTATGGCCGAAATGCAGACTGCACAACTTCAAAGCTTGTTGAGAACGTCGATGACGGCGAGCTTGCTCGCGGCTGAGGTAATAATCCGAGCGACATAGTGTCGTCATTGGCATGTGCATGTGGGGCCCACTTCCCGACCTCACCTCTTTCTCAAACCAGCAATATGAAGCTATTTCCTAATCTATCTTCCCCCATCTCGCACCACTTCAACCACCGACATCCAGCCGCTTGCTAAGAGTCTCGCCCGCAAATTGGCTCGTACCAATGGCCAGCAGCAGAAATGCATTCACAAGCTGACTAGGAATCTAAATCGCGCCGCCTCATCTCAGGATGCGGCCGTCCAAGTGCAACACGGCAGAGTCAGGCCACCACGATAAATCCACCTCTGCCTCCAGGTACACACACCTTGATTAACAATCAAGATTAGCAAATCAACGGCTGCTGTCCCCAGCCTTAAAACTGGCTGTCGAGCATTCCATTGACCGCATGGAGATGGCCCAGCACCAGGCCTAGACCTTGATCGCAGAAATCATGGCGCAGCAGCACATACCAAATAACCAACCGCTACGGTCCTTGGGGCACGAGCCGTTGGAGTTGATGAAAGCTTCCTTGGAGCACGTGCTCAAGACGACGCCTCCTCAGCCTACCTATGAAATTCATGAGATGTTTGGTGGCTACACAGGTGGCCCAACTAGCCTTGCCTACTTGTTCTTCCGACTGGCGGACCTCTATCCAGCTGTCCAGGTCACAGGCCACCCTCTTATGCACTGGACGAAGCAGTATCTAGAAGGCGACAGAGGTGAAGTCAAGATTACAACTAGAGTGGGAATCAGCAGCGAGAAATTGGCCCGGGATGCACTCATAGCCTGCTTGAGCAAAGATGAGAATGATGTCAAGGCCTTCTTGTCCAACATGCCAACTGTGCTTGGCCCCTCTACAGACTTGAAAAAGGATCCATATGGGTCAGAATTTTGGGAAGGCAGAGCTGGCACGCTATATTTCATGAGGCTGATGCGCCACTACATCCCAGAGAGTGCTGCTCTTCTCGAAGGCCCCATTGCTCGGGTATCTGAAAGGATTCTCTCAGATAGCATCGACCAGGACGAGAGGGGGTGGATGTTCTATGATCTGGAAACGACCGGTGCTGGTCACGGCACCATTGGAATCATTACACAACTGGTTGTGACTACGCCTTCTCTGGCACCGAGGCTGAGGACCAAGCTTTGTGCCGTGCTCAATCTCCAAACCGATGGTAATTGGCCCAGAAATATCGCACCTGCTGGTGATGACAACCCATTCCTTATGCAGTGGTGCCATGGTGCCCCTGGATTTGTCGTCTCCCTCAAAGCTATAAGGCCTTACTTCCCTGAGCTACAGGGGCGAATCGATGCTGCCATAGCCAACGCGCAAGAGGCTACCTGGAAATATGGATTGATCAAAAAGGAGCCTAGTCTCTGTCACGGCATCCTTGGAAATGCACTGCGAGTACTCCATCTCCTCTTTCATGTAATGCTATGATAACATTTCAACAGGGCTCTACCTCGTGGACCGCGCAGGGAGCACTTCCTCTCCCTGGCGACGGTCGAAGCCATTGAAGAAGCCAAGCAACTGGAACCTGGAGTTTTCAATCGCACAGATTACGGCCAAGACATAGCAATCACCTTCAAATACCACTCTAGCGCGGCTTGGACTTGGGCAGTCTGTGGACAGGAGGATCCTCTGATGCTCATTCAGACAGATATTTGATGAAGATGAGAGGTTTTCGGTTTGCTACGTCGGTTATACGAGAGATTTGTGATTAGTCTTCAAGATTGTGGTATGCGCTGACATCACCCTGACCAAATCTTTCGTGATCTTTGTTTTTGAGGTTACTCGACGGCCTCGGTCAGAGATTCGTAAGTGGTTTACTTTTCCTCGGTGTATCTTGAATGCAAAATCTTGTTGAGATGCACTTATAAATCTTGTCCCACATTGGCTTGCGTATCAAAGGGGAGGCCTCAATTATGTGGTTTTAGTTGGTGAAAGCAGCCGCCATGTCAATTATATATATACTGCGATCAAGCCACATGTACGTGCAATGAATCTTTTACTTGGCAGCGAGTTCATGTAGATAGTCGGTTGCGGCGTCGTCGTAATAGCGGTTCGATTGGCTTTGTAAAGTGGCGCGCAGATTCCAGCCATGTAGAAAGTTTGGCTCCCGCTAATTTGTCTCGATCAGTTCTTTTTTTAAATATAGTAAAGTGTGTCCATTATCACGATAGCGAAGAAGAAAATGCGTGATTCCAGCAGTCTCTTTCCTTTTCTACCTCATACCAATTCATTCCAGTCCATATACCATACGCGTAAGCGAAGCGTACATAGCCGCGGCTCTCCAAACCGGGCGTTAAGTACCAATCTCATCAGGCTTCTCAACGGTCCGAATCCAAAGCCTCGCGCATAAAAATATTGTTGATGAAGAGGTGTGTATGTAATGTAAGGACCATTGTAGAGCAGCCGGGCAAAGCAAAAATAATCAATTAAACTGAAAAATAATAATAAAATAAGTAACACGATAGAGTGGACCAACGGGCCATATTACATGCATCAATAGCTTCGAGAACACTTTTGATGTACACGCTCGAACCTTCAACTACCCGCGTATCGAACGATTTCCTCACTGTTACTTTGATATGCCGGTCTCGCAGCATCGGTTACAGGCACAGTGATGTCACCATTGGCCAGTTAGCATTGCCGGTAGCCGTGGCTATCGTCACGATAGAAGCAGGTCGTACAGACATACAGACGTAGCTGAAAGTGTAAGATCTGCCCCTTTGCCGAGCCATTGCCGACAACCGCTTTCCAATTCAGGAATCCGACGATGTCTCGCGCTCCACGAGAGTCGCGCATGCACGCTAGATTAACGTTCAAACAATCTACAAGCTCAGGGCGTCGGTGCTGCCGCTGCGGGGACCCACTGGCCGTGAAGCTGGCAAGATTTCGGGTCGGCAAGACGCCCAAGGCTCGGAGATCCACCACCGCAGTGGATTAGAAGGATTTTTCACTTCAATTTGGGCGTTTGCGATTGGCTTTTAACAAGTCAATTGCCCTTGTATCTGCGGTAAATATCAAAAGCCTTGGCTGATGTAGGTTTGTCTACTGCAGAACGACTCAAAATGATGCTGCAATACTAAACCAGAGGGCATGAATTGCAAGTATGTCGTCACAGCAAACATTCTTCCCTCACAAGGCACCGCCGAAGCCACTCAAACGCAGAAAAAGCCGCTAGGCCGGGAATGGACACGGCACTTGAAAAGTGGCAAGGGGTCCTTTTGACGTGGAAGTCGTATCAGACCCACGTTCGGATTTGTAAACCGGGCGGCAAGGCTGTCGGCTGAAGAGCGCATCTAACTCGGCAACGCACGATGAGGGAAGACAAAGAGAATGAGAAGAAGAAACAAAGAGTGTGGCGTCTTTGGCTGCATGAGACCCCTGAAAACCAATCTATCGCTGGTACGTACCCAAGTATTAACAAAAGGCCAAAATAACAGACTCCATCGCTTTATGCAGTATGCGATGCGGCCGTTTGTCGGTGCCGAAACGGCACGTTACTGAAGCTGGGAGAGCGCGGAGATAGGAGAAGCTGAAGCTGGGAGGAGAGGGGGTTTGTATTTTTTTAATTGTTAAATGCAAATGAGAAACGACAGACACCCCCTAAAAGAAAAAAAGGACGCAGATAGAAAAAATCAACAATTAAAAAGGCTCACGAGACAAGAGCTGCTCTTCTGAATCGAGGGCGTAAAGCCGCGGGCGTTTCCTCCTTCAGGGAAGCCTCTCTCCCATCGGAGCAATGGAGAAGGGATCTCAATCTCAGCGTTTGATTGGATAGTTTCCTTCTGAGCTTCTCTTCCTGGCACAGATATGTCACGCGAGGCCAATTTGGCAAGTTTCCGCGGAGATTCCGCTTATGAAGCCGAATTGGCCAGTCAGCGTCGAGCGTTTACTTCCAGAACGGCTCAGTTCCGGTAGTCAACAGGAATTAGCTCAAAGTGGAGTAGTGAAAAAAAGAATACCAATTAAAGAAAAGAACAATTTAAAAAAAAAAAAAAACAGTTCGGGAGCAGAATCGGCAACCCGTCGGCATAGTGGAGACGGAGGAAGCTTGAAGTCGCGAGGCTTTTCCCATTCCCCACGCCGGACTTTGTGTGTTGGAAAAAAAAAAAGTGTGGCTACCTGTTCTAGGGATGTGCCTGAAGCGAGAAACAAGGCGACCCGTTTCGACGGAGCGCTCCCTACTTGAAGCCGCGCCGGAGTTGAAGAGCAAGGGGGCCGAAGGGGTGGGAAGGGGGGACGATGTGAGCCACGATCGACGATCAGAGTTTCCATGATGTGAATGGGGAGTGGAGGGGGGGGGTGTAGAAGATTGCAGGATGGGATATGAAAGAGTTGTTTATGACTCTTGTTAGTGGTGAGAATGCCTAGTTGGCGCGGGTTATGGTTGTTTGTTTTTGACTAATTAGAGTTAAGGAATTGAAAAAGAGTTATTTGAAGTAGGTGATTATGTCCAACGACTCCATCAGAAAGAATGATTCCAGCTCTATACCTGGATACTATAGAATTGTCTTACACGCAGGCAGATCGCCTCAAGCCTTGCCTTATGCCTAGGTATGGAGACCTTTCGGATATAAGGCTTCAACCTGATTCGATCACCCATACCATCATCCCCAGGAAATCGCATCATCTCAATGATTTACAACCAGTATCGTTCCCATTGTTTTTGTATTTCTTGATTTCTTTACTCCAGAAATTCGGAAATAACCAACGAATGGGGATGCAAGCCCACAACTCAACTTACACACACCTACAAGGCTAGAAAATACCTGCAAGGGAAGATTCGTGCAACCCGGAAGATTGCCTAGCCTCGCGATCTAGAATGCCAGTCCATTACCCCAGAGAAACGCAAAAAGAGGTCATGAGAATGAAAAGAAAAAACGGGAACCTCGAAAAAGCTGTAGCCAGATGACAGGATTACCAACGCGAGGTCAGGCTCGGTGACGTAGGTCTATAAAGCCCATTTCGCTCTGTTTAGGCCTAGCACCGGAGCTTTCCGTCTGCGTTCTGACTCTCCCATATTGAAAGTGAAAGCACGCTGACTCTTCTCACACTGGCTGTCTCTCTTCGAAACCAAGTTCACGTTAACTAGTCCAATTGTGGCATTTTCCCTCGGCAAAAGAGCCCTTCTGCACCAAGCAACTAAAGGTACGTACTTGTGCACTCGCAGCATAATCGGGTCGGCGACCGATCTCCCGTCCCATCGGAGAGGCTAGAAGCCCTGAGCGCGAGGTTCCCAAGGGGTCGATGAGAGGGTGTCCCGAACCCCCTTTTTAGCTCCAAGTTTGGAGAGGCAAATGACTAGTTTTGCGATCGGTTTGTGAATATGGATATTTTTATTTTTATTCTTTTATTCCTTTTCTTATTTATCTCGACATTGTGTAAGTACTGAACAGATGGGAGAGAGTGAGACAGACACGCCCCCCCCCTTGATTAAGAAGCCTGTAAATCTCGCAACGGGCTAGCCTTGCGCGGGTATCGCTCATCCTGGCCTTTTCTTCCATGCCATGTTCTTTGTTTCCATTTGCACTCCCCCGCGGAAGTTGTAAATCCTCGGCGCCGGTAATAGGAGAATAGGTATCGACGATGTATCGTCCCCATAGCTGCCATGCTTGGATGGAGCTCATTTTCCAGTTTCTCTCACGCGAGCTCAATAAACTACTACTGTAGCTGTACGGTAAAAGTTGCCAGGGAGCTCGGAGATGTGTAATGCTGCTAGCAGACACTATTATGTACACAAACGTACGAGTTATAGCACAATTCGCGCATTTGCAGAGAGGTCTGTAACAAATCTCCTGCAGGTCAGTAATGCGTACGTTCACCTGCTTTCAAATTAATAATAGCAGCAGCAATACTGCAGTGGGCATTGCACGGGGGCCACTGCCGATGGACTGGCGACCTAAGCGAGGGCCCTGTCAATGGCCGCCATGATATCATTTCTGCACGTCTCTTGCGGGCGGCAAAGACGGCCTTAGCGGAATCGCAGAATCAGTCTGCAGCAAAGACCTTTCCGCAGAGGGCAATTTTGAACGACCGTTTCTGTGGCTTCAGCCGAGCAGGTACCGAAGAGGCGTCCGTTGTGGGGAAGCAGAATTAAGGGTTGCTTTCGATTCTTTCTAGAACGATGGATCGAAGCGCACCGACTCCGTTTTTGCCTTGGCTGTTGTTTCCCTTTTGTTTCTTTCGCCTCCGTGCACGAGGGCGTGCATTTTAGTGTGAATCAGAGAACATCCGCGCAAAACCCACTTGCATGGCATTTACATGTATAAACGGGGATACAGGATCATGGGTCTTGAGACTCGGGGGCTTCAGCCTATAACCAAGCTCAGGCTCCAGCCGACGACATGCGATTGAGATGCAGTGTCGATTTTGCGCCTTTTTCCCCCTTGTGATTTGATTCCACGGTGCTGGGAATGGGGAACTGCTGGGGGCATATCCCATACTGCAAGCAAATTCCTATTCTGATCGTAGTGCTATTACCCAGGGCAGTAGTGTCATTAATTACATCTCTATATGTAAGCAAAGAAGGCTGAGAGTTGATAGGTACTTGAGGTGACTAAGAAAAGTGAAGTGCTCACAAGTCGCAAAGAGGTAAACAAGGCCTAGACGCGGCTATTCGAGATTGGTAATCACTTCCGCGGCGTTCACATAAACAACGGGTTCTTTGTGTGGGGATTTGGGCTGGTTTAATAAACACCCTTAGCCTCGGGACGCAGCACTGAGGATTGGGTAAAAATCGAAACAAAACAGCCTTATTTAGCATGAATTAGCATTGGGTTTTGGGTTGCGGCATATTCCGTAGAGGCTCCGTAGCACTGCAGCAGCTTGTTGTTTGGATAATGCCCAGGTGCTATCACACACATACCTACCTAGGTATGTAGGTATGTGTGCATGTATACAGGTAGATATATTTCTACAAGTAGAAAGAGTTCTATCCATGGATGCCTGCAACGCTGCACCTCACTTGATGCCCTTTTGAGCAAATGGAGTTGCGGATCTGGGGAGGGGGGCGATGCAAAGGAGCACAAGACCACAGGAGAAGAAAAGAATGAATAAAGAAGGTTTTCTAGAACGATTCCCACTTGCCTAGACCGTGATCAACGCGAGTCATCTTCCCTTCGCGGACCCTTTATGTAATTGAGGCCAAGACAGCTGAGGCAGCGGACTCCATATTTAACACAACATGCACTTACAAGTACAAGTATGAGCGAGTGTGGCCCGCCCCGTCTGTTCGCTCATTCTCGCACCAAAAAAAACGGCTAAACGGAGATATTTCTGTACTTTGTCTCACTACCGTTTGCTTATTTTTTTTTTCTGTTCTTGCTCCATAGCACTTATAAGCATTTCCTTACCGAGGTGAGTAAGCGGACTCGGAATCGAGACGCTCCGCAAGGAATTGTTACCGCACAAAGCCCGCAAAACGGAAGAGCTAGCCTAGCACACCCCCAAAAGATGACATAAAACTAGGTACATCACATAATCGGGAATCGGAGGTTATTTTTTTGGTTTTTACGTGTTTCGGCACCGACTGTCTGCGCCGATGAAGCACGAGGCCCTGATCCTTGTAGTTCTCTAGGCCAATTAATACATTCAATTAATTAATTAATTGTTGAATTGAGAGATTAAAAATAAATGAAAAGGAAAAAAAAAATTAAGATTCAATGATCCAGGGGTTCTCGTACGACAACGACGATAGTGGCTGGGGGCAACGATGGTGGCTGGCGAATGACGGCATGAACACAACCAAAAGGAGAGAAATATTGCTTAGACATGACAATAGGGCAGAAAAGTATGAGCGTAGTATCCTCTTCGCCCAAGGCTGGTGAATTTGTCCACAATTGTGGCAATCAATCTATCTGGGCAAAGAGACAGCTCAGATTGCAGGTTCCCGTCCTTGTTCGCCAAGAGCCAAATCCAATCCAGCCGCCTTGCCGTTGATACCAATTAGTATCGGAAGATTCCGCCTTGTGGAAAGCTTTGTTGCGTAGGGGCGTGTTGGTTGTGATTTTTTTTTTGTATCATTTACAGATTTTATATTTATATTTTATTTATTGTCTGTTTGCCCTGTTGTTTACATTATGGAGTCCATGATGTCGATCATTTGGCTCTATCATCTGATCATGTAAGTGCGCAACTTACTCGTAATTCAACTGCCGCTGCTATCCAGACTACGACGTTTGTAATCCAGCTGTCATGAAGTAAACTATCGTCACAATGCGGCTTAACAACATGACCAGGAATCTATTCTTACTGGCCATGTAATTCATGGAATCGAGACAAAGGCAGATTCTAATCTTCAAAAACAGCCCTTCCCATTGGCAGCCTTTGGTAAACGAGGTCCCCACGATGACTCACTCTGCCCTTTAAGTTGCGGCAGACCGTATTACTTGAGCTGAGCTGAGACGTAAAAGATGAGACGGGAATGAATTCAACGGGCAATACTAGCAAACTAGGTAGCCAAACAAGCTCTACGAAGAAGCTTTTTTCTGCGTACCAGTTACCCGTAGATTAAGGCCAGACGTTGTTGCCTCCAAACTCCGATCTATATGCTATTTATACGGCGCGTGGCGGCATCGAGGCGAGATGAATAGTCAACATTGCCTTTTTGCTCTGGAATGCGATATAAACTACCCACATATAGACAGCAAGTGGTGTTCGTGACAAGTGCCTACATGTAGTAGCTCCCAAAAGCGCCACAACGGCAATTATGCCATCCAGGTATAGAGCTAAGCGATTATGCTTCTCATCTTTGTTTCCCCACGCGCTCTTCTTAACTTTGCAATTGGCGACATCTGGGCGCGCGCGCGCTTAAAGAAACTTTGTGAGGCTTGATCCATCAGTGTCAACATGAAGTCTTTCATACGAGGATCTTTGAGCTGCAGCGTCAATGACATCACGAGAGCTTCTCCTCTAGTATCGTGATTGGGGAAGCTGGGGTAGGCATGGGGAAGTTGATTAGTAGTAGTAACAATATTTTGTTTTATTGATTATCGCACGACACTAATTTGAGAGGATTTATCCCAATTTCTTCTTTCATTGAAACTTTCATTTATTGGAGTGGCCCTTGGACGTATTCCATTTAGGGAATCTGTCAGCGAGGCGGCAAAAGAAGGCAGCTGAGACGCATCGTTCATAACACCCAGGATAATGAAAACACATGAAAATAGAGACAATCACCTGTTCATCGATGATCAAGCTCGGCTGTCGCAATTGGCGGCAATTGCGGTCCGCTCTCCCAGAGGTGACATGCAACGATGGCGTCTCATTGGATTAAAATGCCGGTAGCACGATATCCGATCGGAGTCGGCTATAACGGGCGTCGGACAAGATGCCCTGGATGGGGTGCCATGACGGACTTGCGCAGATTTGCTCGCGCCCAGACTCATTTATGCAATGCAGCCAGATCAAGAAACTGCATGAGTAAGAGAGGAGCACCGAAACAAACAAAACAGACACCCTGTGCTCGGACTACGAGTCATCGGGCTCTAAAAGCCTGGAAACAAGTAGGCTATACCTAGTGATCCTGGTGATAGGGGTGAGATTGAGATGGTGGTTGTGCATCGTAACCAATTGTGGCTCATACTCATCCTTCATAGAGCAGCTGCTCCTACTAGCCACAACAGTTGCTCCGTGGTCCGTCCGTCGGTTCTCACAGCGAGGCCGTCACCAATAAGTGCCAAAGACTCAGAGGAATTTAGGCATCCAGGCCGGAGGCTAACTCAAGTCCGTGGCGGTCGGGCTTTGTAGCGAGTGCGAGCTCCTAGTAAAGTGCCTTGCATGCATCGGGCTCTGTCTAAACAGGATCCCGGCTCCCTGCTAGGCCATCTCTCAGTGCCTCTGTGTTTGAGTGCAAACGAGACTTGGTATGCAGGGACTTGGCACATCCGCTTGAGAGTTACTAGTAGCAGTGTTGGTGGTGGTGCAAGTAGAGGCGTGGGGTCGAATACTTACACAGCAACTTCTAATGATCGTGTAATGGTCGACCAATTGAAGTAAATCATGCAACGGCAGATACAGTGTTGTACAGTTGGATGCTCAGAATGGAAATACTGTAAAATACCGGAGCAATCAACCAACTTTAAAGCCAAAACACCGTCAAGGTTGCAGTGGCGCCAGATTGATAGACGACTAGCATATCATTCGTGGCGAAAGAAACGCCTATCAAATACCTACCTACACAACTAGAGCCTCACGACCAAAAGACACCTTACCATTCCATCTGCCGACATGCAGAAGAGGGGAATCGCACCGCTAAGAAACTTGGACAGCAACTCGTACGAGAGCTCCCCGCAGATTGGGTATAGCATCGCTCGCGTTTCGCCCTCGCTCCAAGCGAGAGGAATTGGCAGAAGCTAAAATAAACGACTTGGGAGGAAAGAGAATAATTTGACTCCTTCGGCGTAAGCGATACAGAGAGATTGGACCGTCATGTCGAGATTCGTACGTCACAAGCAGAGTGGTAGTGGGAGAGGTGCTTTCGCCTTTCAGCCTCCCCAATCGCAGCACAAATAGCCAGAAGTATCTGACTTTCGGCAGTGCCTAAGACGACGACAAGACAATATTAGAGAAGGAAAAAGACGTGCTCCAATTCGTTGCGGGCAAACACATGACTAGATAGGCGAGACACGCGAATGGGACAAGAGAGAATAAGACGAGCGAGAGAAGCCAGTAGAGCGTAAGAGCTAATAGCAGCCAGCGTTTAGCCACTGCCTCTGTGCCTCAAGCCTCGACGCCCTCCTCGCTAGTAGGCTAGTAGCGGGTACCCCTGCGGTACGCCGCCTGGAATGCAGCCACCAGCGGCGTCGCAAGTAGCTCGGCGGGCTACTGGACCTGCATGCCACTGCCAGATAGACTTTTGGCCCAGACGTCAGGCAAGGCGGGTTGAAGAGACTTTGACGCGACTTACCGCCACCGCACGCCAACAGCATGGCTTTAGGGAAAATTAAATATGAATAAAAAGAGGGGCCACGTTTAATGTTTATTTGGAGGCACCTCCAAACAAACGGAATTGGAAAGGGAAAAGGGCGCTTTATGGTCGGGCAAAGGTCGACGTGAGCGGGGAAGCTGCTGGATGTCTGCTTGTACATGTAGTCTATATCGAAAACTCTGCTGCTACTGCTTCACCCAACCACATACACGCACTTTACGTCTCCTACTTGCAGGGCCCGTACATCAGCTTATCTCATTGGGAGCCGCTGTTAGCACGACACGACACGACACGACACGACACGAAACGAAGGAGCGCCTGGCATGATGCTAAAGCGATGGCGCTGAGACGAGGCCCAGTCCGGCGAGCTCTTGTAAGGCACCAAGTGGCGGTGGGTTTGCGGTGATGACGGTCTTGATGTTGTTGCTACCGCTGCATGTCGTTTGTGATTGATGGAAGTCAAATCCCAGATACTTCTGCAAAACGGGCGCCTGGTGACAGACGTCTTTGCGCATTTCCACAATATAATACGGTGGGCTGAGTGAGGCTTGTAGCAAGTCCAAGCATCGTGAAGGACGACACAGTACCTGTATACCTTTGATTACCCAATGCGGCATGCGTGGTGGTAGCATTGAGGCAACATGTGCCTCCATCGTGGCCTTTCTTCACCTGAACTCTTTTTCAACATCATCTCTCCGCGCCCCATTTGGCGCCTCGCCCTGGAGAGCGACCCCGGACTGACGAGCAATTGCACTTGTTGCTTGGCAAGCAGAAAAAAATAAAATAGATTAAAAAATTAAAAGAAATTAATCAATAAGACAATTAAAGAATGTCGATACCTGCGTTTCATGGAGAAACAGCATTTGCCCATCATGCGTATGTATGTAGCTGAGCAAAGCATCCCGGGCGAGAACCCACGAGAAAAAGGGTAAAATTGGGGTATTGGGCAAAGAAAGCAACATTGAACCCTGGAAAAAGGCAGAACCCGCAAGTGCTGTGAAAACGCAAAAAGGTGCCGTCAATCATAGGGCTTAGAATCAATGGGCAACGCAAATGCCATTGCCCAAACTGCAAATGTCCAAAGATGTTGCTGCCAAATTAGCGGCCTCTGCCCAATCACACGTCGCCGCAGGAGAAAAAGCTGGGCGACCCCTTGGACAAAAGCGGTAAAAAGTGAAGCGCTAAGACCACCTTGCCAAGCTGATCGTCCTTTTTTTGCGAGCAGCCGTCAGGAATGGCAGTTTGGAGCAGTAGCTCAAGTCGGGACGTCAAAGCCATTAATCAGCGCGCCAAAGCTCTCCGTGTTGTTGGCTCCATCTCTTACTTCTTTTCAGGGCATCATCGCCCGGAAGCGCAAAGACGCGAAAACGTACCAGATGAGGCAAGGCGCTGGCCCAGCTCCAATTTGCCCAGCGTTCATCTCCCAGGGCGGGGGATTCCCCAATGAGTAATAATGTTTAGGAATATTTAGCAAGCAATTGGAAATAGGTCGACTAGTCTAATGAGAAAGATTGACGTAAGGGTCCTTTCTTTTCGAACTTGTGAACGAAGCGAGCGAGCAACAAGCAATTAGCAACGCACATGGTTTTTGCATCATTACTACAGTAGCAACAGCTTTCTTTACTCGTTTCGTTCGGTCTCTGCTTACAGTATCTGAGCAGGGCCCCCTCCCTCCCCCATCGTTTTTACTTAATCCTCCGTAATATTGCTGCCCAGATTAGGAAAACAATCGCGAAGTATGCGGCCTGTATAATCTTTTTGCGTGCAGCTCGGCAATGAGCCGAAGGGGCGTTCTCCCGCTCGTTTGCATTCTCTTTCGAGTTTCTAGTACCCTTGTAAAAGTTGTAATTTGTGCTATTGCTGGATGGAGAAAGACGAAGATCAAATAAAAATATTTCATGGGCAACCAAACTCAACAAGGGCCATTGGCTAGACAGCTTGATGCGATATATCCACTCATTTCTACTAGGCATTACTCATGCTGAATGAAGGACACACACAAAGCTTGTACAGCCACTACCAATCTATCAATTGAATACAGGAGAGAATGAACGGGACAAAGATTGAAACTCTTCCCCCGATGTCCTGCGGTGTTCCGCACAATACGCAACGCCCACCGGGGAATTGGTCCAACCTCAAGTCCGTCCGCTCGGCGCGGACTTTGCTGGGGCGACGCTGGGCTTTCGAGGCAACGACTGCAAACGGGAGAACCCTGGCTATTTCGTATAAATATACGTGCGCGCAGTAGAATCTGGGCACAGGCTTAGCGTCCATGTACAAACGCCTTGGCCCGCCAGGATTCGATTCGATACGCCGTATTCCAATCCCACTACGACTCCAGTGTAGTAATGACAGGATGTACAATACGCGGTGATGATGTGAATGTGAAGGGAACAAACCAAAAAGGCAATTAAGAGACTTTCCCCTGGCATGTTGACGCTTCTCCTCTTTCTCTCATCACTCGTTATCTCTCTCACCATCGCCTCTCTCTCTCTCCTTCTCTCTGTCTCTCTCAGTCTCCTCATCACTACCGCTGCATTTCGTCATTGTGTCCTCTTTCTCTGGGGCCCGTAGGGAATGAAGTCCTGCGCCTTAGCCGCAACTCTGTGTAATGGGCCAAGGGAAAGGAAAAGACCAATCCGTTGCAAATGGCAAAGGACCGCGGCAAACGGCCTGATGACAGAAGACTAACCCACGTATGCCATCATGCAATTCTGGCCATTGCCGGCACCGAGTGAGGTAACTCGTGTTGGCCGCGATACATGGCTGTACGCCCGGCCATGCGCAAACGTGCGTGTACATATGCACACGGGCTCTACTCGTGGGCACTCGTGGGCGCTAAACCGGCCCAGCGCTGCCCGCTATCAGCTACCGCCAGCCATGAATGTACCTGCCGAGCGTACTGCGCATTGCTGGGCACCATTCCGTGGTCCACTCGCTGCGCTGTAGCGCTCGCAACACTAGCACCCTTTAGCGCTCCGTCAGTGCCCTGTAAGCCCACGCCTGAGCAGCGTGGACGGTCAGCCCAGGGCGCTGGCGGCTAGCACCAGGACGAGCAATGCACTGCCCCTCTAGGCCTAGGGCGCGCTGCTAGCCTCTGTCGCGTCCTCGGACATAATGCCGCTGCCGACCCTGTACACTACAGCCACGCCACCCACCCCTGGGCTCCATCGTTTGGTTTTCTAGTGGCATCTCCCGTAACCGGATATACATGGTACGTACCTCTTGACGCAAGATCCCACAAGGCACGCAGCGCAGCACTAGAGTCGAGGTACTATCACAAATACAACGGTCATTATTAAATACCAATGGCCCAGCTCTGTCAGCTCACCTGGAGACTTCTGACTTACCTCTCTCTACCTCTGCACAAAACGACTCTCTCGTCATTATTAAGCACGACATCAAGGGATCTTCAAGAGCTTTTATATAGTCTGATCAGTCCCGTGCTTTGGCTTACAGAGATCCCTTCACTTCTCTCTTCCTACCCTTTTGGCCTCCTACTTATTCACATCACCAACCATTTACATACCTTACCTATATCTACTTGACCTTGCTCTTGCTTATTGCCTGTGCTTGTCCATGAGGACGTTTGGTTAAAAGACATTTGCATTGTGGGATATCTCCTTGTATCCTTCCCTTCCCATCAACACCGACAACTACCAAGGAAGCAGCTCCTTGCGTATAATTCATAATAACACAACTTCCATTTCATATAAAAACCACAACAATCCAAAATGGTAGCTCACACTCTACCTTCGCCCCCCGCGGAGGAAAAGCCCACCATGTTATCCAGAAAGGGCACCGGCTCAAGTACAAAGTCCGTTAAGCCCGCCCACCGAACATCAAAGCGTGCCGGCTCTGGCGCCGCCGCTGTGCACCACCACGAGCAAGTCACACACACGGGCATGGATGGGAGGCATAAGCGTGTTTGGAAGGCCTGCGAGAGATGTAGAATGAAGAAGACAAAGGTATGCAGCCGCTCGTCTCATATAGTTGGCTTCTCTTTACTGACTTACATAACAGTGCGATGGTGAATTCCCGTGTAAGAGGTGTAAGGACGATGGCCTCGTCTGCACCGCCGGCGTCCGCAAGAAGATGGAGTACAAGCAGCTACCTCGAGGGTAAGTGGAGCCAGATTGATATCCTTGAATCACTCATCAATCGATCAACCAAACTAACATGAACGTGAAACAGATACGCCGAGGTTCTCGAGAACACTCAGTTCGCTCTCATTGCTACTGTTCACAAGCTGTACTCTATGGTTAGGAATGGCCAGACCTGGGATCTTGGTGAACCCGACCTCAACGACCGCCACCAGCCCGTGATCCACGACATTGCACAGAAGCTGGGATGCATCCGACCGAATAGCGACATCGATCTTCCCGTGCACTCAGTCTTCCCCGAGGACGAGGCCGGTATGGCTGAGCTCGCCCGACAGCTGGAAGAGCAGCAGCACCACGACTCCGAAGCCCAGCACAAGGACACCAAGGAGACTGACTCGCCCATGTACAATCGCACCGACCGAGCTTCGTCTTCAGAACTCGACCACTCCGACATCGAGCTCGACTACCGACGAGCAGCCTTTGGCAGCCACAACCCGATGACCATGTCTCCCCAGAGCTACGCCGGCAGCGCCGATTTCGAGTTCAGCCGATCTGCACCCCCCGATCTCGACACCACTGCCCTGTTCGCCACACAGTCACCGAGCCTGTCGACGTTCCCCGACTGGACGATCAAGGCCACCGTGCCCCCTGAGATGACCATGCAGTACTTTCAACAGACTGGCATGTTCCAGGGCATGAGCATGATGGGTCCTGGCCTCAATGGAAACGACTTTGGAACCATCAAGCCCCACGTCCTGTCTGCGGTGTCCAACCCCAACGTGATGATGGGCTTGAGCGATCCCATGATCTACAGTGGCTACGACGATGAGTCGATGCGACTGTAAATCAAAGAAGAAGAAAAAAACAAAAAAGCTACCACAAAAACATCTTACTAGCGATTTTTCTTTTTTTGGGTTCGGGGCGGCAAAGCATTCATTTCAGTTGTACCAATGTGTAATAACATGGTCTTGACGTCTTTTTTTTTGTTACGACTTATTCAATTTCATGGCAAGCCCACACTCATTACTCATGCATAGTGTGGCCTATGGGGATATCCGACAACTTCGATTCTTAACGATCACTTTTTTACATACTTTTCTTCATGTGAAGCATTTCTTCTTCTTTCTTCCCGCATAATTCTATGGGGTTTCATGGCGTTTCGGACAGCAGAGGATTTTGGGATATAGAACGTCTTTTATTTTTATTTTTTTCATTTGTCTTTCGGGAAGAAAGAGGAAGAAGTGTGTGGATACGGCGGAAGGCAAAGGTCGGATCTAAGTGACTATATGGGAGCATTTACTGGGATGACCACTTAAGCAAACAGAGCTTTTCACAACCATAGAACGATGGCACTACGGTGTCACAACCTGAAGTAATTCAAAACCAGAAATAAAATGGAAAAAAAAAATATCAGTTACTGTACACAAATTAATTTGTCACTTGCCTACTGCGCTCAATCATTTGTCGTTGCATTTTCTTTTATTTATCCTACATTTGGTCCGAGCTTAAGATGCCATTTAAGGTATGTTCGATTACAATATCATTTTTCATTAGCCTGTGGCATATTACTATTTTTGACACTCGATCTACCTACTTGTACATGCAGCGTGGGCGTAGGGCTTACAGGACATGCTCATTGCAGCAGCCTCAATTAGCCCAGCTCCTCTGGGCGCTGGAGATGGGGCCTTCTTTTTCAGCATCTAGAGCTCATTCTACCCAGCTTCGGCCCAGACACGTCACGGGCACCCCTAAAGAAATTGACATCTCATGAAAGGGGACCTGTCACCGAGATTCTGGACAAGCAAAACAAGCCAAGCCCCCTCAGCCACACATGCGTTCGTCAAGCTTATTCGTCTAAATACCCAAGATAGCCCTAGTGATAATTTGGTTTCTTCGGTCTCGGGATCGTATAACTGCTAGTTTAGCGGTAGGGATTCTGGTCCCCCCCGGGAGAGGGAAAGGACGGCACAAAAACCACATTATGGCTAAGACCAAAGTGAGCATTGGTGCTCGCACATGTGCATTAGGGGTTTGCCCGTAACGGCTCGTTTTTTCCTAAATTTGAAATTGTTCTATCAAATGGAATGGGCTTCTTGGTGCTTGTTAATCCAGTTTTTTTTTCGCCCTAGAATTCTTTGCTCGGGGCTTCTTGCTTCTGCTTTGACAGCGTACATGTACTTTGCGACGACATCCACTTTCGGGCAATGGGATCGGAGTTTGTCAACAAAGGCAGCATGGTTTGTCATCCCACTTTTTTTTTTCTTTTCACGGATTGCCGAGATGCCAGTGAAGACAATTCCTTCTATGGTCTTTATCGCACCCCTCATTCCTGTCTCTCATCTCATCTCATCTGGCCCTGTTTCCCCGCTACCGCTGTAACTTGTACATTAGATCAAGTACATTTGGGGTTTGTTTGCAGCTGTATATCAAAATCGGCCCACGCCAAGCGCATGGGGGGAAAATGAGGCACACTTTTGGTAAAATTACGTGTAAGAGAGACAAGCGATGGAGCCTTGTGTTATGGTAGCAGCGCTATGGAGTTTACACTGTTTTTTTCTTCTTTTCCTTGCGGTTCGATTTGACATATTATCCCCGTGCCTTATACCCAGGCCAATGCCCGGAGGTACCCACGAATCCAACGATGTGACCCATCGGAGATAAAAAGAGCAAATATTGCAAATTCGAGAACGGGAAAAAAACAAGGCTAGCCAAGTGAGAAGGAAATAGCCAATGGAAGGCGAGATGAAAGATGAAGGGCCATACAAAGAGGACTCATGGGGAAAAATGGCCCCCGGCGTGTCAAAAGTTTCCGCCGCTGACAAAACATCAAAAAACGGAGTAAGGAATTAATCTTGTGAGCTCCAAAGTCGGAAATATCCATCAGCAAAGCAACAAAGGCACAAGGACAAGCACACAAGCCTAGCAGGTAGCACTACCACTAATCCATCACTAGCAGGAGCATTTTGCAGCGGAGGGTTTGTGAGGTGTGATTTTCAGCAGTTTCCAGTACATATCGCATCGGCGCCTAAATAGCTGCTTTGCCTGGTACCTTTGACTTCGGCAGTTAATTGCGATCTGGACAGAGAGTGTGTGCACCAAAAGTGGCAATTGCTGGATGCAGAATTCAGAGGGATTGCCCCTACTGCTACCTAAGCAGGCAGAATCTGTGCCGGGCTCGGCAGTTTTGCTTTTCCACTGAGTCACCGGGCGACGGCGATTTTGCGGCTACAGACAGCTACCCAGGTAGGTAAGGTAGGTATTGCTAAGGAAGTTGGATGGGATATCCTGCGATATCCGCAAATCGCTAACTGGAAACTAGAAGCTCTCTAGCACCGGCCAAAGAAGGATGAAAAAAATCGATAAAAGCAAGAAATTAGCTTAAAAATCAAGCATGGCGATCCGCGTGGATACGTGTATGACCAATTGGCCGGGTTACTCATGTAAATGCAACTTCCAGCTTCAGATATCCGACCTGTCGTTCTGTGAGCCGCCGCCTTCAGTCCTGCAAAGTCCCCGCAAAAGCCCGCAATAGCTGCGGTCTTTTTGCGAAAGTTGGTATTGAATTAGAGAAAAAAAAGGGCCGTACAAGTCCACGGAGTTGACAATTAGTTGAAGAAGAAAATATTCATAGAGAAAGAAAAAAAAAAATTAATGCCACGGAGTCAAGACGTCTTCGGCGATCATATGTCCGCAACTAATAGCTTAGAAGCGGGAAAGTTGTCCGTGGACTTTTTGCTTCTTCTTCCACCCACCCCTTTCCCCTGCGTTTATGATTATTCTAGCTGCGAATAATATCCAATTAATATACTTGAAGTTGTCTATTTTGTGCGTGTATAGTATGATATTTGGCATGCACGAGACGAGACAGTTGTATACAAAGCGGCACGCCTTCATGTCGGCCACCCCCCTTGTACAACGGGCACGTCCTCAACTCCGACCGAGGCACAATCGCCGAATCGAGACGGAAGCGTGACCAAGCACGCGCATGCACTGCGACTTTGACAGCAAGCCTTCCCTAATTTACCTGTAGTATCTGCAGTCCTGCCTCTGAATCTTTCCATGGACATTTAGGTGTATTGCTGTAGATGGTTCTGCAGCCAGTCGGGGTTGGGCTTGTTCAAGCTACTACTACTGCTCAAAGCGGCAACAGGCCATCCGGCGTCAGGATCCCGGACCCGGACCTTCGCAAGACTCCGAACGCCGCCGGGTCAGGCAAGATACGGGGCCTGGACCTTTGTTTTTTTCCTTCTTTTTGCGCATGGCTTTTCTAAGAAGGGGCGTGTATAGAAAAAGCCAGGCAGTGAGTGGGCTTGGGGCTGTATATACTTTGCCTTTGCGGGGGGTACACGTTTTGTTTTTTCTTTGGCAAAGGATCAAACCAGCTTGTGGCTAGGCAAGTAAGTACATGCAAGTACTAGGCTGAGTATGCAGATGCGTATTACAAAAGCTGTTGTACTAAAGATAATGACTGCTCGGTGGGTAGAAGATGCAGCGGTTTTACTCGATCCAGAAAGCTGGTGAGAACAGACGGCGCACGCCCATAGCAACTACTGGAATACTACAAGTACCTAGCCTACAATTTAAAACAGAAAATAAGTTTGCGATTTAACCCACATTAGGCTTCACGAGTGGGCAGCCGGGCTTGCTTTACTAATGAAGCCCGCGCTGGTACCTCGCGGGCGACCAGACAGCGCTGCCCACTTGTTTGTGGCTTGCGCAAGATACGATTCCTGGGATGAAGATGGAGGGGGGTCCCAGTTCCAGGGCTGGACGACAGATAGCCTATTCCTCCTCGGCGTGCAAATACACGTAAAGGGCTTCTTGTTCGTTTCGTGTCTCGCATTCGCACTTCTCATCATGAGCTGCGTATACATACAAAGGTACATGCTCGCAAGACCCAGCTCCATGGATCAGGATCAGGATCACGATTTTAGCATCAGGGAGCCACCAAAGCCCGCACGGAGGACGGCGTGTTCCCGCCGACGCCCTGCATTTCCCCCCCTCTCCACCATCGGTCAGCTATTCATTCCCGCCTCCATGAGTCCATGCCCATCGGGGTGTTGTTCAGCTTGTCGATGCTCGTTTTGTCATCCCCTTGAACCAAACAAGAGTGCGTCTGTGCATGTTCTCCGTCTTTGCCATGGATACCCCCTTGTAAATAGGAGAAGTAGCAGATGAACTAGAGAATAAATAAATATATTAACGATTTAATTGTTTGGTGTTTATCCAGCGGACTTTGGCCCGCACAGCTCGGCCTGTTGCAATATACCGCTTCTGTACACCACCACTGACTGCTTCTTTTATGCGGAGTGCGGACGGACTAAGGGTATGTATACACGAATTCACAGCATAGCATCACAAAGGGGCATTACATGCATTACAGCTTTACACGCATTCCAGGCAAAGCCTGCTTCATGCTCTCCCACTTGATCGCCGCACGGCGCTTTACACACTTTAGTCTTTGGCGCGCGCGCTGGCTTAATATGTCTTTCAGCCCAAAAGCCACGGTTTTGTCAGCCCTGCCAGCGGCTTAACAAATCAAATATCCATATATGCTCCTAGTCGAAAAACCATGTCTGGAACCGGGCATTAATGTACAGTGCCCGTAGGGCAACGCCTCTTGCTCATTGGCTCGCGAGGTGCCAGCTTGCTGGTATTCCAAAGTATGGGTATGGTAAGTAGGCGTGTTAGCCGCATCGATGTTTAGAACGAACAGACGAACGCACGAGTACGAGCTAATACCTACACCAAGAACCCTGAAAACTTCATAGGTGCTGCTTGGCTCGAAAAAGTGCCCAGCATTGGCAACTTGGCGCATCGCCCTCCTTCTTTGTCATAGGTTAGA